GAAAACCAAACTTTTAATGAGGTTTTATTTTTACTCAATCCATTTTTTCTACAAGGTGAAAAGTCGCAGAAAAATTACAATGGAAATGACGTCGAAACAAGTACAACAATAAATCAAATAGCGATCAGAGCGAAAAGACATTCAATCACTGACCCATTCACACACTGATCCACTCACTCACTGACCCACTCACTCACTGACCCACTCACTCACTGATCCACTCGCAATCCACTCACACACTGATCTACTCACTCACTAAACCACTCACACACTGATCCACTCACTCACTGACCCACTCACTCACTGACCCACTCACTCACTGACCCACTCACTAATCCACTCACTCACTAATCCATTCACTCACTGACTCACTCATTAATCCACTCACTACACTGATCCACTCGCTAACTGACCCACTCACATACTGACCCACTAACTCACTGATCCACTCACTCACTGATCCAATCACCACACTGATCTATTCACACACTGATCCACTCACTGATCCATTCACTCACTGATCCATTCCCTCACTGATCCACTCACTGACCCACTCACTCACTTATCCACCCACCACACTGATCCACTCATACCCTTATCCACTCACTTATTCAATCACCAAACTGATCCACTCACTCACTGATCCCCTCACTGATGTACTCACTCGCTGACCCACTCACTACACTGATCCATTCACTGATCCGCTCACTCGCTGACCCACTCACTCATTGACCTCCTCACTCAATGACCTACTCACTCACTGATTCACTCCCTCACTGATCCACGAAGCACACTGATCCATTCACTGATCCCCTCACTGACCCACTCACTCACTGATCCACGAACCACGCTGATCCACTCACTAATTGACTCACTCACTGATCCACGAACCACACTTATCCACTCACTCACTGACCCACTCACTCACTGACCCACTCACTCACTGATCTACCCACGACACTGATCCACTCACTTATTCACTCACCACACTGATTCATGCACTCACTGATCCACTCACTTATCCACTCACACACTGTTCCACTCACTCATCCACTCACTCAATGACCCACTCACTCACTGACCCACTCACTCACTGAACCACTCACTACACTGATCCACTCACTCACTGACCCATTCACTCACTCACTGACCCACTCACTCACTCACTGACCCACTCCCTCACTGATCCAATCACTGACTCACTCACTCACTGATCCATTCACTGATCCACTCACTCATCTACTCACTACATTGAGCCACTCACTCACTGACCCACTCACTCACTGATCCACTCACTGCTCCACTCACTCACTGACCCACTCACTCACTGATCCACTCACTCACTGATCCACTCACTACACATATCCACTCACACACTGATCCACTCACTGATCCACTGACTCAATGACCCACTCACTGACCCACTCACTTACTGACCCACTCACTCACTGACCCACTCACTCACTGACCCACTCACTCATTGATCCACTCATTACACTGATCCACTCACTCACTGACCCACTCACTCACTCACTAACCCACTCACTCACTGACCCACTCATTAATCCACTCACTACACTGATCCACTCACTCACTGACCCACTCACTCACTCACTGACCCACTCACTCACTCAATGACCCACTCACTCACTGACCCACTCACGCATTCATTCACCACACTGATCCACTCAATCAATGATCCACTCACTCACTAATCCACTCACACACTGATCCACTCACTCACTGACCCACTCACTCACTGACCTACTCACTCACTGATCCGCTCACAAGCTGACCCACTCACGTACTCACTCATCCACTCACTCAATGACCCACTCACTCACTCACTGATTCACTCACTCACTGACACACTCACTGATTCACTCCCACACTGATCGACTTACACCCTGATCCACTCACTTATTCACTCACCACATTGATACACTCACTCACTGATCCACTCACTCACCGATCCACCCACTCACTGATTTACTCAAGCCTGACCCACTCACTGACCCACTCACTCACTAATCCACTCACTGACCCACTCACTCACTGATCCACCCATCACACTGATCTACTCACACCCTGATCCACTCACTTATTCACTCACCACACTGATACACTCACTCACTGACCCACTCACTCACTGATCCATTCACTCACTGACCCACTCACTGATCCATTCACTCACTTACCCACTCACTGATTCACTCACTCACTGACTCACCCACTCACTAATCCACTCACTGATCCACTCACTCACTGACCCACTCACTCACTAATCCACTCAGTAGCTGACCCACTGACGTACTTACTCATCCACTCACTCAATGACCCACTCACTCACTCACTGATTCACTCACTCACTGACCCACTCACTCACTGATTCACTCCCCCACTGATCTACTCACACCCTGATCCACTCACTTATTCACCCACCACACTGATACAACAACAACAACAACCGCCATTCGCCACTAAGTGGCGGTGACGTCACCACGACGCTTGTGCCAGGCTATGTGCACCCTGAGGCCACGTGAAGTGTCGAACGCCCGCTGGCAGGAGGTCACGGGGCAGACCCAGGTGCCACGGGTCGACTGACTGAGATGACTGGCTGATGCACCACCTGTGCCCCCTACTGTGCCAACCTGCTGTGCTTTAGCCACCCGGCGCTCCGCTCGCTGTTGTGAGCGTCGCTCCTCCGCCCTCCGTTGTTGTTGGAGGGCGACTGCCTCCAACTGCCCAGTAGCATCCTTCACGAGCCTCCTCCACAGAGGCCGATCTTGACACCGCTGGTACCAGTCATCGGCAAGTCCACTCAGCTCCACGTCCTCCTGTACCACATCACTCCATCTCTTCTCTAGCCCGTGCCGCGCCCGCTTAGCCCCCTCAATCCGGCCAAACAAAAGCTGTTTCGGCATGCGGTGGCTGGGCATGCGTGCTACATGACCCAGCCATCGCAGCCTTGCCTGCCGGAGGAGCTCACCGATGGGACCCTGCCCAGATCTTTCAAGGATTTGTGAGCTCCTCACACAATCCAGTCTGGTTAAACCCAGGATGGATCGTAGGCAGGCCAGCCTAAATGTTTCTAACCGGCGAAGATGTTCCATTAGGGGGGTCCACGTTTCGCAAGCGTAGAGAAGGGAGGGAATGACCGTGGCCGAGAAGACCTGAAGCTTAGTGCGGAGCGACAGACCAGGTAGCTTCCACACAGCGTTACGCAACCGATGAAAAGATATTGCCGCTCGACTGATTCGGAGTGAGACCTCTGCTGTTAAACTGGAGCCAGTCATAAGCACACTGCCCAGGTATGGGAAACTCTCCACTCTCTCCACAACTGCCCCATCACCGATTGGGAGTTGTGGGGGTGGAGTGTCCGATGGTACAAAATACCCAGGCAGGTGCTTAGTTTTGGTGGGGCTGATGGTAAGGCCCCACCTCTTAGTGGCACGCTCCAGTCTCAGCAGCAGCGTCTCCAACTCCTCCTCTGACTGAGCAGCTATTACCAAATCATCAGCATACATAACGTGGTTGAGCAATAGGGAGCCATCCCTTGACCGCACCCGGGCATCGATTAGCCTCCCATTATATCTGTACCATATGGAGATTCCCCCGGTACAGCTATTGAAGGCTTCACGAACTACGTGGTCAAAATAGATGTTAAATAATGTGGGAGCCAGAGGACATCCCTGTCGCACCCCAAGGTGTACAGGGAATGACTCTGACTCCCGGCCACGTAGTTTTACCCGGGCCCGCTCACCATCATGAAGGTCCTTAATGATCGTGAGCAGAGGGTCAGGTACTCCAAAAGCACGAAGAACGACCCAGAGCCCAGGCCTACTGATGGTATCATAGGCCTTGACCAGGTCAATAAAGCAGAGATGTAGGTCTTGTTGGAATTCCCTACACCTCTGCTGTAGCAGACGGACAGAAAATATGGCATCTGTGCAGGACCGCCCTTTCCTGAAACCGCATTGGGGCTCCGCAAGCCTCTCCTCAGCGTGCCTGGCAAGGCGATGCTGAATAATCCTTGCCAGGACCTTTCCCGGCATACTGAGGAGTGAGATGCCCCTGTAGTTGTTACAGTCTGTGCGGTCCCCCTTCTTAAAAAGGGGGACCACCAGGGCATGCTTCCGATCCTGCGGAACCCGTCCAGTGGTCCAGACTGTTGTTATGATGTCATATAGGGCAGTCTGTGCACAAACGCCACCCTCCCTCAGCATTTCGCTTGATACACTCACTCACCGACCCACTCACTCACCGACCCACCCATCACACTGCAGGTGACAACACACTCTCCCTGCTCATTCCCTGGCACTGCTCCACTTCATAATAATGATTTGGTCATCACTTGGAATTCCACCTCAACGTCTCTTTTTCCAGAGCTCTTAAAGTCACCCAGAATGCTCAATTCAAGGTTCTTGTCCCATCTTGGAGAGTGCTGTTTGTTGCTGGCCGCTTGGAGTTTTTGTCCAGTACATTGTAAGCAGTGCGGAAACGCATGGAGCTCCCATGCTTCCCCGATTTCACCGACACGCAATGACCGGCGTGGTGAAGTATGGTCAAAAAAGATGACGCTTTAACGACTCGCGATGGACAGTCGTCGGCGTTTGTGACGTCACATACACACCGTTTACAGCGAATGCGTCACGCCAAGTATGACGTCAATGTCCAGGTGAGCTCACCCTCCCCTCGCCCCCTCTCCGGGTGAGCTCGCCCCCCACTCCCCCCCACCCACCGCCTCACCCCGCCCCGCCCATCCCTCTCCAGGTGAGCTGCCCAACACCTTCACCTTAGCCCCGCCTACCCCCCACCCCGCCCCTCCCCCTATCCTTCACCCACCACGCCCCGCCCCTCCCCAACTCCTTCACCCGCCCCTCCCCCACTCCTTCACTCACCACGCCCCGCCCCTCCCCAACTCCTTCACCCACCCCGCCCCTCCCCCACTCCTCCCCCGCACGCCCCGCCCCTCCCCCACTCCTTCACCCACCCCGCCCTTCCCCCACTCCTCCCCCGCGCGCCTCCTCGCCCCGCAATCACCGCTGGCCGTGGCCATGGACGGGTGAGTTGGGGGGTCGCGCAGCCCTCAATCACGCCTCACTCACTTCTCCAGTTGTAGCAAGCTGCTTTATCGACCACGGTAGCTGATGAGGATGATTGGCCTGAGGCGATGTGTGCACATCAAGTTAGAGTTAGGGGGTGGAGTTGGCGCTGCGTTATATATGGTTGGAAATTCCACGTTTCTATGGCGGCGGTCGGGTCTGCCTAAGACAAACCACAGTTGACTTCCCTCAAAGTGGTACCAATTTTATCGGCGGAGATTTGAACTTGTGAGCGCGGCGCTCGGGGACTTGATGCACATCCACTTTAGAGTAGGTATATACTGTACCTTTATAAGTACTGTATTCGTTGTTCAATTGATATATAGTACGTATTGCATTAATGTGGCCAGTTAATTAGTTATTTTACACTGATCGAGCAGCGTGCTGACGTGTGGTCAACCACCATGACCGACGCAGCGTGAGGAGGCCTCAGCCAGCAGTTGATTGACTGGGGCTACACTGTACATACAGTGTGTTTATAGTGCATAGTTCATGATATGGGGGGGGGGGGTTGGGGGTTAGATCGCGGTACAGTAATTGTGTCGTTAAACCTGCCACCACCCGACACTGGCAATCAGTAAGGTTTGTCACGTAAACAGAACGTGCAAATTCGTTTCTAGTACAGCCACACAGCGGTGTGCTGAGCTAGTAACGAATTGGCGTGTAATGATGAATTGGCGTGTTTTGGTTACGTGACAAACCTCACTAATTGTCTTGTGTTGGGTGGTAGCAGGTTCAACGACACATTTACGCGATCTAACCCCCCAAAAAAACCCCTTAAATTCTGAATGATATTGTTCGCGAATGCCTACTTCGGGTTAACTAGTGCATAGTTACATTTTGATTTAAAGCTTTCGTGACTGCAGTGATTCATATTCTTGGTTCTTTCGGTAAAGTCACGTTGAAGGGAAACAATGAAGTAATAAAATATTGTCTATATATTTTATTATTTTATTGTTTCCCTTCAACGTGACTTTGCCGAAATAACCAAGAATATGAATATAGTGCAAAGTTGTTCGGAAGTAAATTAATTAACTGGGAATTTTAATGCATTCTCATGGCTGACTTATTCCGCTACTTGTGGAATTAGTTTGAGTAATCTTTTATGGAAAACCAAACAGCCTCATCAGGAATATTTTTCAGGAGAGCCCGATGCCCTGAGATGTTTAACCACCCACATTTGATTTCTAGAGAGGGTGCTAGCTTACAAACATTTGGCAGTACACCTGCATTGTTTCAAGCAAAGCTGCCTTGACTGCTGGCGAAGACACTGAATGTCAAAACCGGTCCAAAAGTTTATTCTGTTGAAGTGATGCTGCTGATCCAATCCACTCCCGCGAAGTCTGTTTCGCTGATGGGATGTGTAAATAAATACCCTAATGTTTGTGTGTGTGGAGGGACATTTATGAGGAGGCGTATCGTGTGATTGTTTAGTTTGTCCGTGGCAGCAAACTGGATTATACGTACTCCTAAGTGTCCGCACGGATGGGTTCACCAACCCAGAATAAGAATCTTTTCAGGTTTGCTGTGCTGCCAAGTGATGATACTGGCGACCTCGCAGCAACACGGCGTGCTATATGATTGTCACGGATGTGCGTGATGAAGCGAATATCACAACCCGGACAAAGAAATATATGGATAATGAAATGGTACACGTAAAAATTAAATTATTTAATCAAATAGTTCATGTAGAAAGTGCTCTTGCTATGATATTTGCAGATATGCGAGTGCGTTTTAAATCAGTTTTAAATGTGCCGAGTCCGTATTTATTGTATTCCTACCTAGTTAAACAATATAATTATGAATTAAATATTCGAATAAGTTGAGACGACTCGAGGCATTCCAGTGTGCCTGGGGGAACTGCACCCGCATGCCCAGCCACTGAATGTCCAAATAGATTTTGTTCCGACGGATAGAGGGGGTCAAATGGGCGTACACTGGCTAGAGAAGAGATGGAGTGATGTGGTACAGGAGGAGTCTGAGTCGACTTGCAGAAGACTGGTACCAGCGGTGTCAAGATCGGCTTTTGTGGAGGAGGCTCGTGAAGGACGCTAGTGGGTAGTTGGAGGCAGTCCTCCTCCAACAACGGAGGGCAGAGGAGCGAACCTCACAACAATGAGCTGAGCGCCGGGCGGCTAAAACGCGGCAAGTTGCCACTGTAGGGGGCATCTGCCAGTCATCTCGGTCAACCCATGGGACCTGGGTATGTCCCGTGACCTCCTGCCAGAAAGCCTTGGACACTTCACATGGCCTCAAAGTGCACATAGCCTGGTACAATCGCCGTGGTGACATCACTGCCACTTAGACCCTGCGACTCCTCGGTCATCGCAACTCCTCGGTCCCCGTGACCCCTCGGTCCCCGTAACTCCTCGGTCCACGTAACCCCTGGGTCCCCATGACTCACCGGACCCCATGACCCCTATATCTCCCACAGCCTGGGCTCATGGCAGGCCCTGCGGCTCTTCACACTCACCAAGCGGCAGTTCACCCTCGTGTTCGTCACCTTCTTTACAGCGCTCGCGCTCATCCTGCTCATCGGAATCAGCGGTGAGGCCTGCGCACGACAACAACAACAATAATACCGTCCTTGGGCGCGTTTGCTATTTGTGCCGTTCCTATGGCGCAAGGCTACAACGACGAACATGCTGTCTTTCACAGATGCTGTCCGCAGTAGTGTCACTGCTAGATGCGATGTCGACGTGTCTGTGGTCCCAATTGGGTCATTTTCAGAGGTTTTTTTCTAAATTGGACCATGACGCCGGCACACGTTTGGGCTACTCATTTAGAATGACGTCACGAATATTTGACATCCGCTCTAAAGCAGCTGATGCGTTGTATTGTATAGTTAAAAGAGCCGCAGTTTTATCCAGTATCATATAATTAAAACACTCGCAGTGTTAACCAGTGATATTGTATAGTTAAAACACTCACAGTATTAACCAGTAGTATTGTATAGTTAAAACACCCACAGTATTAACCAGTGGTATTGTATAGTTAAAACACCCACAGTAGTAACCAGTAGTATTGTATAGTTAAAACAGCCGCAGTTTTATCCAGTATCATATAATTAAAACACTCGCAGTGTTAACCAGTAGTATTGTATAGTTGAAACACCTGTAGTGTTAACCAGTAGTATTGTATGGTTAAAACTCCCACAGTATTAACCAGTGGTATTGTATAGTTAAAACACCCACAGTAGTAACCAGTAGTATTGTATAGTTAAAACACCCACAGTAGTAACCAGTAGTATTGTATAGTTAAAACACCCACAGTAGTAACCAGTAGTATTGTATAGTTAAAACACCCACAGTAGTAACCAGTAGTATTGTATAGTTAAAACACCCACAGTAGTAACCAGTAGTATTGTATAGTTAAAACACCCACAGTAGTAACCAGTAGTATTGTATAGTTAAAACACCCACAGTAGTAACCAGTGGTATTGTATAGTTAAAACACCCACAGTAGTAACCAGTGGTGTTGTATAGTTAAAACACCCACAGTAGTAACCAGTGGTATTGTATAGTTAAAACACCCACAGTAGTAACCAGTAGTATTGTATAGTTAAAACACTCGCAGTGTTAACCAGTGATATTGTATAGTTAAAACACTCACAGTATTAACCAGTAGTATTGTATAGTTAAACACCCACAGTATTAACCAGTGGTATTGTATAGTTAAAACACCCACAGTGTTAACCAGTAGTATTGTATAGTTAAAACACCCACAGTAGTAACCAGTAGTATTGTATAGTCAAACACCCACAGTATTAACCAGTGGTATTGTATAGTTAAAACACCCACAGTAGTAACCAGTAGTATTGTATAGTTAAAACACCCACAGTGTTAACCAGTAGTATTGTATAGTTAAAACACCCACATTAGTAACCAGTAGTATTGTATAGTTAAATCACCCACAGTATTAACCAATGGTATTGTATAGTTGAAACACCTGCAGTAGTAACCAGTAGTATTGTATAGTTAAAACACCCACAGTAGTAACCAGTAGTATTGTATAGTTAAAACACCCACAGTATTAACCAGTAGTATTGTATAGTTAAAACACCCACAGTAGTAACCAGTAGTATTGTATAGTTAAAACACCCACAGTAGTAACCAGTAGTATTGTATAGTTAAAACACCCACAGTAGTAACCAGTGATATTGTATAGTTAAAACACCCACAGTGTTAACCAGTAGTATTGTATAGTTAAAACACCCACAGTATTAACCAGTGGTATTGTATAGTTAAAACACCCACAGTAGTAACCAGTAGTATTGTATAGTTAAAACACTCGCAGTATTAACCAGTGGTATTTCATATTCTTAGCTCTTTCGGTAAAGTCACGTTGAAGGGAAACAATAAAATAATAAAATATATATAAAACATATATTTTATTGTTTCCCTTCAACGTGACTTTACCGAAAGAGCTAAGAATATGAATTACTGCAGTCACGAAAGCTTTAAATCAAAATTTAACCAGTGGTATTGTATAGTTAAAACACCCACATTAGTAACCAGTAGTATTGTATAGTTAAAACACTCGCAGTATTAACCAGTAGTATTGTATAGTTAAACACTCACAGTATTAACCAGTAGTATTGTATAGTTAAAACACCCACAGTAGTAACCAGTAGTAGTGTATAGTTAAAACACCCACAGTAGTAACCAGTGGTATTGTATAGTTAAAACACCCACAGTATTAACCAGTAGTATTGTATAGTTAAAACACCCACAGTATTAACCAGTAGTATTGTATAGTTAAAACACTTGCAGTGTTAACCAGTGGTATTGTATAGTTAAAACACTCACAGTATTAACCAGTGGGATTGTATAGTTAAAACACTCGCAGTGTTAACCAGTGGTATTGTATAGTTAAAACACCCACAGTATTAACCAGTAGTATTGTATAGTTAAAACACCCACAGTAGTAACCAGTAGTATTGTATAGTTAAAACACTAACAGTATTAACCAATGGTATTGTATAGTTAAAACACCCACAGTATTAACCAGTGGTATTGTATAGTTAAAACACTCACAGTGTTAACCAGTAGTATTGTATAGTTAAAACACTCACAGTGTTAACCAGTGGTTTTGTATAGTTAAAACACTCAGAGTATTGACCAGTGGTATTGTATAGTTAAAACACTCACAGTATTAACCAGTAGTATTGTATAGTTAAAACACTGACAGTATTAACCAGTAGTATTGTATAGTTAAAACACTCACAGTGTTAACCAGTAGTATTGTATAGTTAAAACACTCACAGTGTTAACCAGTAGTATTGTATAGTTAAAACACTCGCAGTATTAACCAGTAGTATTGTATAGTTAAAACACTCGCAGTATTAACCAGTAGTATTGTATAGTTAAAACTCCCACAGTATTAACCAGTAGTATTGTATAGTTAAAACACTCACAGTATTAACCAGTAGTATTGTATAGTTAAAACACCCACAGTATTAACCAGTAGTATTGTATAGTTAAAACACCCACAGTAGTAACCAGTAGTATTGTATAGTTAAAACATTCGCAGTGTTAACCAGTTGTATTGTATAGTTAAACCACTCACAGTAGTAACCAGTAGTATTGTATAGTTAAAACACTCGCAGTGTTAACCAGTAGTATTGTATAGTTAAAACACTTGCAGTGTTAACCAGTGGTATTGTATAGTTAAAACACCCACAGTATTAACCAGTAGTATTGTATAGTTAAAACACCCACAGTAGTAACCAGTAGTATTGTATAGTTAAAACACTAACAGTATTAACCAGTGGTATTGTATAGTTAAAACACTCACAGTGTTAACCAGTAGTATTGTATAGTTAAAACACTCGCAGTGTTAACCAGTGGTATTGTACAGTTAAAACGCTCGCAGTGTTAACCAGTAGTATTGTATAGTTAAAACACTCACAGTGTTAACCAGTGGTTTTGTATAGTTAAAACACTCAGAGTATTGACCAGTGGTATTGTATAGTTAAAACACTCACAGTATTAACCAGTCGTATTGTATAGTTAAAACACTGACAGTATTAACCAGTAGTGTTGTATAGTTAAAACACTCACAGTAGTAACCAGTAGTATTGTAGAGTTAAACACCCACAGTAGTAACCAGTAGTATTGTATAGTTAAAACACTCGCAGTGTTAACCAGTAGTATTGTATAGTTAAAACACCCACAGTATTAACCAGGGCGGCCTGCCAGATTCGGACCGTGAGTCTCCGCAGCAAGCAGCGAACACACGCGACCGCCGGCCCGTGGTGTCACTGCCCCCAATATGCTTTCGACGTGTGGCCGTTATGGCAAGGAGATTAACACATCAACATGGCAGTACAGCAACTAGGTTGCTCACCGCTCTGTAGAAATTCGTTAATTTTTGGTTTCTTGCACGTTCAATTGCTAAGAAGTGGATTAAGTGGCTCACGGTTTTTTAGGCTTGGTGAGATGGTCACTTGCTGACCCACCCCCTACTAGACATCTGTGAAAAAGAGCTTCATAGCTCATCGGATTCCTCCGGTCTAAATAAGAGATTCTGATTTTGTAAAGAATATCGAGTGGTACTCATCTATTGGAGGCCCAGACATTTCCACATTCCCATGACGTCTGGGAAGCCAGCGGTGGTCATCCTCTCATTTTATTGACCTTCAAAGAGAAGATGATTTGCTTAGCCTTCTTGATTGTGAAGCTGACCTCTATAACCGACGTGCCGCTCCATCGTAGCTTAATGTAATATAGAGAAGGAAAATAAGGTTATGTTTTCTGTGGCATACTTAATTATTTAAGCGCTACACTCTTTTGAAGGTGAATTTGGAACAGACAATATATCTCTCTCTTGTAAACCCATGCCAATTTTCTGCATTGGCGTTGGAAGCTTTGGTTAGTAATGCGTCTCCCAGTTGGGTTTCTAAAGCATGCTCATTTTGCTAATGCTCTGGCTACGAATCTCGAGAGGCTGTTTTAGTTACAAAAATATGTTTTTGCCCTGGGGATCAGGTTATTTTATTGTTTATTTTTATATAAATGGTTGCTCTTTAAGAGGATAAAGGTTACCGAGGGCCATTTGCACTCATCCAATGGAAAGGTCGTCTATTGACCACACGAAAAAAAAACTGTAGCCTCTGAATGATGAAGTGTCTTTGTGCAACACGTTCCAGACTGATGCACACACACACACGTGTGTGTGTATTGCACGCACAGTCCCTTTTTGTCAATCCACTGCTATATGAGGGCTCTTCCCCCCCTCCCACACCGTGTGGCTTGTGAGGGTTATTTGACCATACTTCCCCACTATTGTCACTGTGGGTTGGTGAAGGCTTGCAAACGTAGAAGCGGGAGTGTATAAGTACAGTAATTAATTTTGCTGCTCTGCCTTCTGCTGCTCACAACAACAACAATGCCCCACATCAGCAGCAGCAGCAGCCGGCTTCGGGTGGTGGTCAAACATCCGGGCTCAATCCAGGCTCAACCCCTGCTTTTATTCTGAGACCTCATGAAATTGGGTGCATTCCCGGTGATTTGGTCATACGTGTACACAACAGTCTAAGGCTGCGTGGCGTTAACTGTGACTTTGATGATGATCCTGGTAAATCGGGTTCATTCTGTAGCTCAGATATTTGATCAGAGTGGCAATGAAAGTGCCAGCAAATAAAGGACACAAACCTGCCGTGCTTAATGACGTCAAGATCTGCACAGACCAGACGCTCCTGTGCAAGTGCCTTTGTTGTTAACGCTGTATACGAAGCTGCGAGCCACGTTTGGCTGAAAGTTGATAACCTGTTTGCACACTGTGTTCAGGTGCCACGTGCGTGAGATGGTAACTACCTCGCTTGGTATACAGGAGGTCATGGGTTCGATCCTGACCCTGATGCCTGCTGTATATTTGGAGTTGGGATGTTCTCCCCAGTTTAACACGTAGGCTTTCACGACTATGGATGTTTTTCTCCGGGTCCTCCAGTTTTTCCCTCCACATCACATTTAGAAGCATGCATTTAGAAGCTCCGACCCTGACTCCTGTATACAGTGAGGGAAAAAAGTATTTGATCCCCTGCTGATTTTGTACGTTTGCCCACTGACAAAGAAATGATCAGTCTATAATTTTAATGGTAGGTTTATTTGAAGTGAGAGCCAGAATAACAACAAAACAATCCAGAAAAACGCATGTCAAAAATGTTATAAATTGATTTGCATTTTAATGAGGGAAATAAGTATTTGACCCCCTCTGAATCAGAAAGATTTCTGGCTCCCAGGTGTCTTTTATACAGGTAACGAGCTGAGATTAGGAGCACACTCTTAAAGGGAGTGCTCATAATCTCAGCTTGTTACCTGTATAAAAGACACCTGTCCACAGAAGAAATCAATCAATCAGATTCCAAACTCTCCACCATGGCCAAGACCAAAGAGCTCTCCAAGGATGTCAGGGACAAGATTGTAGACCTACACAAGGCTGGAATGGGCTACAAGACCATTGCCAAGCAGCTTGGTGAGAAGGTGACAACAGTTGGTGCGATTATTTGTAAATTGGAAGAAACACAAAAGAACTGTCAATCTCCCTCGGCCTGGGGCTCCATGCAAGATCTCACCTCGTGGAGTTGCAATGATCATGAGAACGGTGAGGAATCAGCACAGAACTACACGGGAGGATCTTGTCAATGATCTCAAGGCAGCTGGGACCATAGTCACCAAGAAAACAATTGGTAACACTACGCCGTGAAGGACTGAAATCCTGCAGCGCCCGCAAGGTCCCCCTGCTCAAGAAAGCACATATACATGCCTGTCTGAAGTTTGCCAATGAACATCTGAATGATTCAGAGGACAACTGGGTGAAAGTGTTGTGGTCAGATGAGACCAAAATGGAGCTCTTTGGCATCAACTCAACTCGCCGTGTTTGGAGGAGGAGGAATGCTGCCTATGACCCCAAGAACACCATCCCCACCGTCAAACATGGAGGTGGAAACATTATGCTTTGGGGGTGTCTTTCTGCTAAGGGGACAGGACAACTTCACCACATCAAAGGGACGATGGACGGGGCCATGTACCGTCAAATCTTGGGTGAGAACCTCCTTCCCTCAGCCAGGGCATTGAAAATGGGTCGTGGATGGGTATTCCAGCATGACAATGACCCAAAACACATGGCCAAGGCAACAAAGGAGTGGCTCAAGAAGAAGCACATTAAGGTCCTGGAGTGGCCTAGCCAGTCTCCAGACTTTAATCCCATAGAAAATCTGTGGAGGGAGCTGAAGGTTCGAGTTGCCAAACGTCAGCCTCGAAACCTTAATGACTTGGAGAAGATCTGCAAAGAGGAGTGGGACAAAATCCCTCCTGAGATGTGTGCAAACCTGGTGGCCAACTACAAGAAACGTCTGACCTCTGTGGTTGCCAACAAGGGTTTTGCCACCAAGTACTAAGTCATGTTTTGCAGAGGGGTCAAATACTTATTTCCCTCATTAAAATGCAAATCAATTTATAACATTTTTGACATGCGTTTTTCTGGATTTTTTTGTTGTTATTCTGGCTCTCACTTCAAATAAACCTACCATTAAAATTATAGACTGATCATTTATTTGTCAGTGGGCAAACATACAAAATCAGCAGGGGATCAAATACTTTTTTCCCTCACTGTATCTGTAGTTTGCGTGTTTTCGCCGTGGTCATGTGGATTTTCCTCCAGGTCCTCCGGTTTGTCCCTCCACATTTAGGATCAACACGCGTTCAGAGTATTTTGCTGCTATAATTTTCCACGTAATAAGCCACTTCGTTAAGCTATCATTTATGATAGCCAGGTCACTTCTGCAAATTAGCTACATAGCTCAGTGGGCCTTATCTGGTAAAATAAAAATAGTTTTTAGTTTATTTATAAGATACATTCCGAATAAGGTTTCATACACATGCACACACACTCTAAATATAATATCTACAGCTGAATCTCGCTTCTGGTTTTATTTGAAACTTACAGTGCTCTGATGGCATGTTTCAGGGTGTGTTATTCTATTCCTATATTTGGGTTACCTGGGTGTGCCCCTTGGCCCTCAGCGAATGTGGTTGAACAAGTTTAAGTGCACTCAGAAACAACGGTGTTGCGTAAGCGTGGACACTGAACACGTCTATTCACAGAGGTGGGCGTGCAGTGGCTTCTTTCTGTGTTCAAGAGTGCCACTTCACATGGAAAATAAACTAAATAGACACACAATGCGCCCGACTTTCCATATCCATCTCTTCACACACACAAAAAAAAACTAAGTATTTTTTTTACTCATTCTATCAGCCACACAACCTTTCTGGGAGTGCATCGTTCTTGCAGCGTTGGTTCAACACCAGCAAAAACACTGGACCAGTTTGGACATTCATTGTCTCATCAGCAGTCGGTCTTGCTTGAGCCAATGATGGTGAACTGCGAGATGTTCATAGGCAAGGACCCTCCCTCTCTGTAAAACATGGATCCTCTTTCGACACAAACCTATATAATACATAACACAAAATAATAATTTCAGATGGGACGGCTTAATTAAGAGACTTGCATTAAATGCGCCATGAGAGTGAACTGAGTCGGTGTGTCCGTCCAGACGGGCGAATGTGAAGGCGCGGCGTGGACGATTTTTCATAATAGAGATTTTTTTGGGTTCGATCGCGTTGTTAAACCTGCCACCACCCGACACAGCCAATTAGTAATGTTTGTCACGAAAACAAAACAAGCCAGTTCGTTACTATTTCTTAGTTCTTTCGGTAAAGTCACGTTGAAGGGAAACAATAAAATAATAAAATATATAAAACAATAACAATTCTCACGACGTTTCGACCATAACACAAACGGTCGTTATCAGGTGTGTCGGTTTGCATAAACTTATTTATTCAAAAGGTGTATTTTTATAAATAAATAAATAAATTCGCAGACGTCTTATTTGTTTCTTTTTTATAAATAAGTACACCGTTTAAAAATAAATACATTTATGCAAACCGACACACCTGATGACGACCGTTTGTGTTATGGTCGAAACGTCGTGAGAATGTTTTTATTGTTTTATATATATTTTATTATTTTATTGTTTCCCTTCAACGTGACTTTACCGAATGAAACAAGAATATGAATTACTGCAGTCACGAAAGCTTTAAATCAAAATTTCAGTTCGTTACTAGTTCAGCACACCAGTGTGTTGAAGAGTAAACTCACAACATTTACAATTCGAGCATGATGTTTCGCCGGTAATTACAACCAGCCTCATCAGGCGACAGCCAAAATTGATTTTCCCTCTGTAAACCATGAACAGTGCCAGAAATACCGTGACGGGGATGATAGCGTAGACATCAATGCGTAACAACGTCAATGCGTGCTATGACACGTCTAATTGGCGGCTGTACCAGACCGGGTGGCAATCAGCCCAGACAGCTCACTCAATGAAGGCCTCTTCTAGCTGTGAAAACTAAACAAAGTCGAGCCATTGCAATTACACCCTTGCTCTGTATGCCCAAAGGTGTATTTCTTTGTGAACTTTTGTATGAAGCACAGCCCCCATCTGCATAATGTACAGACGAGGGCAGCCCAGCAAGTCTACCCCGGCTTCAACACGGCATGGACACAGCACGGCTCCTTTGGTGGCCCTGAGCCAGGGTGGCAATGCCACTTTCCCACGGCGAGACCAGTCACTCTGTTGGGTGGCCGCCACTGCTGACTTCGCACACAGAGCGGTACTCATTTTAACCCCTCTGGAGTGATCATTTACTGAGCTGATCCCGAGCTGGGATTTAACTTTCAATCTGAGACGAGCACTTCAAGCACATAGCCACCCGGCTCGATAATGCGAGTGCAGTAGGACGTGAGGTCCTCCATGCTTTTTTTGATCAGAAATAGCCCCAGTGCACTGTGGGTGCATTCATGTTGGCTTCGTACATGGCGCATTCCATTCCTTGGCTGCCACTCTTTCATTATTCTTGACCACTGACCATCATTCCTTATAGTGTCTTGCCCAAGCCTACATACCTATTTAACAGTTAATTTGTCTGCGTGATTTCTTCCCTCGTGTAGGCAATAGACAAACCTGTTGCCATTCTGTAGCTTTGCAATGCTTTCCGACTTAAGTTGATAGCTATAATAATGCCTTGTCTCTCCCCGTCTATCTCAGTCTATTCTTGCTGCCTGAAATGTGGAGGCATGGTAACGCTAAAAAAAGATTTATCAACGTGAATTAAACTTTAGCATTATGTCATGTTGCTATTAGGGACTTACCTCGAGGTCTATTGGCCACATTGGTCAAAGCGTCACCCGCCGCACTCCCCAGCAGGACCGCTATATGCTCCCTGTGGTTTCATTGTCGACTATGCACTGCTTCTTATGCAGCTGGTGCGAGAAACTAATTTTATTATCACCAAATCAACACTTCTGAGGATGAATGCTAATTGGAGGGCATTGCACAATCAAAGCATGGGCACGATTCTTGTTCCTGGTTTTCTCCCTGAAGTATTTTTTTTCTTGCTGTGTTTTCAGGCCCTGAAATCACCGAGTCCCACATCCTCAAGGCCACGGATATAGAAGAGCATCCGGATGACCTCAGGGTAAACACTTGCACACTTCATATAACACTGCAGTGTTAAATCTTGACTTAAAGCTTTGGTGACTGTTCATGAAGCCATCCAGATATATAAACACAGACACAATTTCAACCGAGAAGATGGGTACAAACTGAGCAATCATTGGAAGGACGTTATTAACCAGGTTAAGTCATAACTGGCTGTGATGCTTCCATCCTACCTGCGTATGTTAGCAGGTATTTCCGACTCACTGAGTTACATTACCTTGTTAAATGTCTTTACATTAACAGGCTAAATGTCTCACTAACAAAGCTGCTGCTCCATTTTCCTCGATGCGGCGGTGGCGCTCGTTGTTTAATAGGCTGAATGTCTCTCATTAAGACAGCCGCTGCTGCGGGAGCCATCTCACATTGACATGCTAATCTCTCATCTCGAGCAATACAATGGCCGCTTCTTCAGCACCATAACCGTGGGGTTACATTGACAGATTGACATGCTAATCTCTAGCCATACAATGGCTTCTTCAGCACCGTAGCCGTGGGGTTACATTAACACATTGACATGCTAATCTCACATCGCTAGCCATACAATGGCTTCTTCAGCACCGTAGCCGTGGGGTCACATTAACCGAATTAACATGCTAATCTCTAGCCATACAATGGCTTCTTCAGCACCGTAACCGTGGGGTTACATTAACACATTGACATGCTAATCTCTAGCAACACAATAGCCGAGGTATTCCAAGCTTTGAGATCCTACATTTACCTGCAAATTCCATCTCTAGCCCCGCCCACTTACCCTTGGGTTGTCCCCATCTCAAACCTTTATAACCTTTGGCTGCAGTAGCTCTCTCGCTGTATTTCTTCCTGCCTCAGCAGTCCGCCTGCTGTATTTTTTCACCTGAAGATGATTGCTTGTGTTGCGAACGAAACGTCGTGATTATTTTATTATTTTATTATTTTCTATCTACATGATTTTACCGAAAGACCCAGAGAGTACTGCAGTGTTACCTTATCATCATCCCTCTTAGTATAAAATAGGCACCATTCTATGTAAAGTGCACAGTGGTTGTCCCTTGAGATGAACGTGTATCTGCCACAGTAATGTATAATTTTCACGACTCACTGTAGCCTGCTATTTGACAAGCCCTATATAATGGTGTCTTGAGCATTGTGCGCTGCACTATAAAGCGGCTACCTGACATTTGCAGCTAATGTCAGTGACAAGCGATATCTGAAATAGTCCTCGATGGAACCTCCTTTGCCAGCCTGCACTGACCAGAATGGTGAGGTATGGTTAAACACCATCCACAATTGACACTATGTGGGGAGGCCCTGATCCAGAAGTGGACGGTTCACTCATTGTTCAAGATCGCGGTTTCCCTAGGCCAGGAATCTGCAACCAAAATGACAAGAAAAAACATTTATTTCGAATTCGGTAAATAACTATATATTTCAAGAGCAACAATGCACTGTGAATACGAGATGGTGGGTCCTTAATAAATAACATCATGAAGCAGACCTTAAAGAGGCAAATGTGGCTCCAGAGCCACAGGTTGGGTGGGAGGTTGGGTGGGAGGTTGGATGAGAGGTTGGGTGAGAGGTTGGGTGGGAGGTTGGGTGAGAGGTTGGGTGAGAGGTTGGGTGGGAGGTTGGGTGAGAGGTTGGGTGAGAGGTTGGGTGGGAGGTTGGGTGGGAGGTTGGGTGGGAGGTTGGGTGAGAGGTTGGGTGAGAGGTTGGGTGATGGGTTGGGTGAGAGGTTGGGTGGGAGGTTGGGTGGGAGGTTGGGTGAGAGGTTGGGTGATGGGTTGGGTGAGAGGTTGGGTGAGAGGTTGGGTGGGAGGTTGGGTGAGAGGTTGGGTGGGAGGTTGGATGAGAGGTTGGGTGAGAGATTCTGAACACTGCATGCAGGGGCCGTTTCGTTAATGAGACGATCTTCCCGTGTAAGCTTTCGCCAGGCACTGTTGTGGGCATCTTCAGGAGGTCCATTTTAAATATGAAACATCCATCATCATCATCAGCTGTGCATTAGCCACTGCTGCGTGAATGCCATAGCAAGTCGTCGTGGCCTCACAATGCAAAAACCCATCTGTTTTTGCCTGCAGTTTAATTCCTAAAGTTTCTCGCAGTAAGTAGTGCGTTCATTAGAAGATGTGCTCAACACGCCGCCTGATCCGAAAAACTGCGACTACGAAAACGCACGTGCGAAGCGTAATAACGCGCTTCTAACATCGTCCCTCGTCGCGAAGCCATTGAGCACACACACTTGTCACTTCCTGCAAAGTGGTACTGTATTCTTTTTTTATCGACCCTAGAGGGATGATATGCCGAGCGGACTCCTCGCCGCGATTATACCTTCCTTCCTGCCCAATTTTGCGTTAGATGTCTTATCGTAAAGCTGCCCAGCCCATGACGTCTCCTTGACAAAGCGCCAGTGGTGCAGTGTATTCCCTGGAGAAAAACTGACATCACAAATGTGAAGGCAAGAACCTAGGGGGGTTGTGCCCGCTGCAGCAGTGGAATGTGATGACCAAGGTGGTATTGCCACGTCTGTTTTCCAGAAAATCTGCGTGTTGACAAAAACTCAATACGTTCGTCAATAACGGCGCCGTTAAAAGGAACACCATTTTTTTGTACGCACTGCAATAGGCGACGTTTCAAGCAATGGCACATGACCTATGTTATTCATATCAAAGCCTCCGCACGTCTCCCACCATTCTCAATGCACGAATTCAATATTTTCAACGCTGTCCTCTGTAACACATATGGGGCCATCGCTTTCACAGAATTCAGTCGGCTATATCTTCGCAGCACACGTGCCACGTGTGCTGTGAGCAGGAACTTTTCCCAAAGTGTCACCTGATACATATTTTATGCCTTTTTAGGCCACGGTGTTCCTTCCAAGCGTGTTGAGTTTGTGATGTTTGTGCTTGTTCACCGCAGCCTATGTGGCAGTATCGCCAAATAATGTTTGTGCTGACAGACCGCTGCAATATCAATCTTTCCGTCCATTCCTGCGCAATGAGGGCACCCGTGTCATTGAGACTTACACAAGCGTGCAAATCCAATGCCGAGAAATCACAGTCCTCCAATGACAGTGTAATATTAACATATTTTAACCATTTAAATGTAGTACATTTCAGCTTAACAAATTTACTTATTCACCCACGAAGACACACTGAGTCTGAAAACTTTTTTTCGGAGGGTCCTACTACATTGGGATGTTTGGGCAATTAATTACACCATATTTTTTTTAGTTATCGAAGGAAACGGGAGAACCCAGAAGAAACCCATGCAGAACAGAGGGAGAACACCTATACACTCCACACAGAAATGCACCTGAGTCGGGAATCGAACCCAGGTTCTACATGCAATGGTTTACGATGTCAAGTAGATGTCGCATTTGATGCAATTTTTATTCCAACACATTTTATTGTCCCGCATGTGACCTTGCCGTCATGCCTCGGGGAAATGGGTATTTGTAACAAAACCATTTACCATTTTGTCACGCGCCGCATCGCGTGCAACATGCGTGCACGAGTCATCGGTACTGACCAAGCATCGTGGTGCAGGACCCTCTTGACAAAGAGTCTCAGGAGTCGCCGTGGCTTTCCTATTATTATCGTGTGAACTATGTATTACCACTACTATTATTATTATGATTCAACCAGGAGGGCGAGATTCTAAATCTCGTGTTAACATCACAGGGACGTTGTTATCTGGGAGAGATGACCCGGTGGGCATGGTGTGGGTTTGATGAATATTGAAAGTCATTGGATTTCTATTTTTTTCCTCTCTCAAATGATCACCATGTTTAAAGAAAAAGGAGTTTGGAAGATCGATCAGATAAAAAATATATACCGCCAAGAGATAAATAAATAATTTTACCACGACTATTTAAATAATGGTATCGTAATTTGCAGCCTTTTGTGTCAATCCACTGCTGGATGAAGGCCTCCCTATGCCACGACATTTCAAGAAGTTGTTTAACTGTACTGCACCACACTGCCCAGTGGGGGTGGGTAAAGGGAGATCTCGACACCGATTAAGATATAAATCGTCGCCGATGTTTGCCATGGCGGAAATCGAACTTGCGTTGCCGAGTTCATGGCACGGTGTGGTAATTACTGTGCCACCACTCCCCATAATAATGTACATTGTACTGTATTTGCCCTTCATGGTAACATGCAGAGAAACACAAAAAGGTGTGTTTGTGTTGCTCATATAATGTGTGCACCATGCCCTCTTAATCAAGTCATGAATTGTGGGGGAAGTCAATAGTGGTTGCCCTATGGAAAGACTCGTCCCTGCCATACGAATATGAAATTTTCACAACTGGCTCAGGGCTGTACACTGGAGATGAGTTGCAGCGCTTAATCGAGTAGGAAATCACTTTGCTTTTTATCTTTCAACAAACGTCTTCTTTGAATGGGCCATGAAGAGCAGCGGTGGTTGGCTTTTGCATGGTGTGTCTTTGCAGACAGCAGTGGAGTACCCCTTGGAGACTCCGGAACTGAATCCGTTCAACCAGCAGCTCTGGCTGACCTTGCGCCTGGAGCTGCAGACGCCGCCAGGTGACTTGCACCCATCTCTGGTCCCGAGTGAGCACATGGCTCAGCGCAGGTCGAGGGTCGGGCACTTCTCCTACGCTCCACGGGTTAGATAATGACCCTTGACATCATTTCACGTCGGAAATATCTGCTCTGAAATGGCCCCGCGAATGATATTTATCTCTGTCGCTGGAAGCGTCTGATCGGCTACTGGAGGGGAAAACCTGACGACAAAATGTTTCTTAATATAGCACAGATCCAGTCACTTCTGTCACTGCAAGTTCCCCCTCGCAGTGACAGCAGTTACTGAGCTCTCTGTGTGCGCGTGTGCATGTGGCTGCCCGCCAAAGGCGTTTGAAAGTCCTGTTCGGCCTCAGATCATTGAAAAAGGTTCCCGACCCCTGAGTTAAAGGGGTGACAGGCAGTGACAGAGCAATGACGTGTTGCTGTGACACCACTGCCTGTTGGGATGCACTCAGCTGGAGGGGAAGGTCATTGAGCGTGATCAGGTCACGGGGTCACCCACCATCGTCGCTCTCCTTGACGAGACCAACTCCTTTAATCTATTGTTGGCGATCAAACTGGCATTGCGCAACACGATGCCACGCGGAGTGGTGGCGTGATGGTGATAATTGCCAACAATTTAGTCCATTTGGTAATTCGGGCCGTTCTCGTGGCGCGGGGCGGCTATCTGACTGTCGCCTGGTGAGGCTGGTTGTAATTACTGGTGAAACGTCACAGTACTCGAAATGTTAAATTTTGAGGGTTTACTCTGCAACACACCGGTGTGCTGAACTCGCAAGATGGACACGTAGGTATTCACGACAAATGTTATTCACAATAAAGGTTTTTTTGGGTTAGATCACGTTGGTATAAATGTGTCGTTAGCCCGCCTCCATTCAACACAGCCAATCAGTAAGGTTTGGAAACATCTGGCAAAATCGCCCGACGATGCTGGATGTAATTACCAGCAAAACGTCACAGGACTCAAATTGTAAATGTTGTAGTGGGTTTACTCTCCAACACACCGGTGGTGCTGAAGTAGTCACTGATTGGCACGTTTTGTTTACGTGTCGGGTGGTGGCGGGTTAACGACACATTTGTACTAATGCGATCTAACCCAACAAAAAAAAACCTCTCATGGATTTGAAATTAATTGTTCAAATTTTGACTGACGCTAGCAGACAATGGCCTGCTCGTTTCTAATGACCTCTGCAGCGGGTGTGAAATCTACGACATCCACCGTGAAGCAGACTGGGCACATATTTGCGCTATTTTAGTATTCTGCGGTATAACAATCATAATAATAACCAGGGCCGCTTGCCGAATTCAAAATCGCGAACCTCTGCATCAAGCGGCGGACGCGGCTACCGCCGGGCAAATCACCTCCCTCTCCCCTCGGTGATTCATGGAGCGTGGTGGCTGTGCAGAGGCCATGGTGCTTGTGTGACGACAGGCCTGGGCGGCCCCGAGATGCCCTAGGATACGGAAAGCAGCCTTCCTGTTAATCCGTTAACTTATAGTGCACTCGTCTGCCACGGGCAAAAAAACATTTATATCGTTTGCCAACATTCTACTGCATGCATTAATCTTGGAGACACATTTTATTCTGATGTTCGGAACTGTAATAACGTTGACACATTTTTATGAGAAATTTAAACCTCCGTGTGGCGGGCAGGCTCTTACCTAATTCATTTATATCTCTCTCCGCTGCTTTTTGGCACCGTGATTGTAATATATTGTGTCATTGAATTTCTCATTAAGTTTCAGTTATAGGAGTCATTATGGGATGTTTTAAATCCCATCACTTTTGCCAAAGAGACAAAAGTAAGGTTTAACAGGGCACATTTACCATTCATTTGCTATCTTATGACTATTCCTTAGTGAATATTTTTGTTTATATGTCAAGCTCATGATTTTACTGGATTCAGGGGACTTTAACTTGACGAAGAAAATAAAACGAAGTAATATTGTTTGTTGTGAATGTAACGTTATCACGGTAATGTATGGAGCCAGCACGGTGAAGTATGGTCAAACAACCTGATTACTGGCATGGCACAGGGAGATCTACATTTAGCAATCGATTGATGAATCGCCTTATAATGAACATTGTAATCACATGTCGCGGCAACATCAAAACTGATCGAATTAATGTAGCTCTTACTAATGAAGCAAGCATCCATCCATCTGCGCGGTTAGTACCATGAGTACCACTTTGTATATAAATCAAGGGACATGATGAGCACTGCCTCATCATCACGCATTTTATCAGACTTTGGTCCTCAGTGGTATTTTAATCTGAACACCGTTGCTGAGCAGAGGTCCACAGGCCCGATGGCCCCGAAATGCCAAGTGGCCAGCAATAAACGGCACATTTAGAGTTGTAAGAGGCAAGAGTGGAACCGAATATCTCGAATTGTCCAAGGTTAGTTTGAGAGGTTAGCAGAAAGAGAAATGTTGTGACCTGCAACGTGGTGAGCGGGTGGTGAGGAGCGGTGGCTTAGCGGCAAGCGCTCTGCGCTGCGAACTCGGCAACCTGAGTTCGATTCCCGCTCACGACCAATAATGGTGACAGTGAATATGTGAACCGGTCCCGGGCCTCTCCTAGATCGACTCGGCCTTAAAATGAGTACCTGGTGGGGTGTGTAAGCATCGCCACTGGGGAGACAAAGGTGGCCGGGCGTGGTGTTGGCCACCCCACCCCCTGATGTGCCGTGACGACCCTAATAGGTTCTCGCTAACAACACTTGCCCCAACAGTCTGTTAGAGGCTGTTTGGGGGATCTTTGTCTTTGAGTGAGTGAGGGAGTGTGTAAATGGGTGAGCGTGCAGGTGAGCGAGTCGTTGTGACCTGTGGTGTGCTGGATGAGGTGAAACAGTCCGTGTCTGGTAGACAGAGTCCTCAACACAGGTGGAGGAATCGGTGAGTGAAGTTCAAGCGAAACAGTAACCATGGAAGTACAGTAGTAGCAGCAGCAGCTGCAGCTATAGAAGAGTGAAAAGGAGGCCAATGACTGCCAGCGAGCGAGCGAGTGACTGGAGTGCATCGGTAAGGGCTGGGATCATCAATCATCACGTTTCATTTATGCGGTGAGGGAGCAACTGGGTGCTCCGGCCCAGATTTGACAAGCGCACTACTGTAACGACGCTGCTGCCAGCTAGAACGCCACTGTGTAAACCACAGGGATCACTGTAGCTGTGTTTTTCTGACCAATCTCGACCCCAATGGTGACCCCTGCCCTCAGGCTGATTAAATAATTCTCAGGGCGGCTGCATTTTCATCTTGACCTATTCTAGTTTTTAATGTGATCAATGCATGTTGATTAAGATTGATTGCACTTTAACTTGGCATGTGCCTAAGCAATTAAAAATACAATTAGTGGTGAAATCGACCATATTTGCTTGGCATTGATTATAATAGCTCGATGTTGGTTGAGTTATATTTCATTGTACTTCCATGATTAGGCGTTTTTCATCAAACGCATTTTAAACGCATTTTTATTGTGATTTCACAATTAACCTGGGCGGGTGAAGACGGATGACAATCGTAAAGTGTCGCCCCCACTCAAGCAAGCGTTGGGACTCTGCTTGTCTCCATTGGCGACGCTGAGCCGGCGAGTGGAAATTGTACTTTCCTACGTTGAGTGTTCAGTCTGTGAAGTATAGCACCAATTTTAATGTGATTGTGTATTTTTGTACGGTCATCAGAGCCCGGGGTGAGACCATCAACTCCCTGCACTTGATTTGGTATTTTTGTACGGTCATCAGTAACTGGGGTGAGACCATCAACTCGCTGCACTTGAGAACCCGGTATACTGAGAGGCGAGCCAGAAGATCCTCGCAGTGGGAGCTCTCAAGCGATCTTAGCGGTCAGTGCTCTCAGTCCGTAAAGGACAGCCGCTCTCGGCTTGCCACATAATGGTGCTTGTTTTATTGACCGCCTGATAAATTAAGAGCCAGGCACAGGGACGCACAACTGCAGGTGAGCGCTTTTGAGGCAAGGGGTCATGACTCTCGATTGAAAACTCAATTCTATAGAAGTGCATTTTGCGTTTTGTTTGTTGTCCTTCCCCCGCACCTCCGATTAACACGGTTGGCTACGTGCAGCGCGAAAGAAGTTCACTGTACATACATACAAGCCCACAAATTTGTGAAACTCCCAAAGAAGCTGTGGCCTGTGAGGTGACCAGGATATTAGAGTATAGAAAGTAGGTTCATGAACCCATATGTGCAGACCTTTGAGTGCGTAACCCCTCACTTGTGCGTTCTCTCTGAGTTCACGAATGTAAACGCTCGTAAAAATTGAGTTGGCCAAACGTCCGTAGCAATGTTGCTTTGCCACTCAATGCGGCCCCTCGCGTCGCGGAGTCGGCACGTGAAAACTTTATGTTCTGACAACTTCGATAAATTATTTAGGCTGATGGAAAGTGCCGATTGCGTTTTGTTTCTCGGCTCGGTACATCGTGCGCTTCAACACGGGGCGCCTGGAGGAGAGGCGCCGCCGTGAGCCCGGGTTGAGATGCGTTCACTCGCGGAATCCCTCCCTCCCTCTCCCTCCACAAGCCTTCGTTCCACCATGCGGGCTCCAGCACAGGGGGGGGGGGGCTCGCATTGAAGGTTCCAGAATGTAAAGGAAAGCGGAACCCCCCCCCCCCCCAAAAAAATAAATAAACCACGAACAACAAACAAAACAGCTGTTATCAATCTATCAGAAACAGTTTTATTGTTGTAAGCATTTTTTTATTGTCCTTAAAGAACCCAGAAATACAGTGGGGATTTCAAAAGGAGCGGTAGGAACAACGTGGAAAATGTATAACAGGCTCGGCCGCAATGCACCCTTCCGTGGTAGGGGGTAGCGATCGGGAGCAGGGTATGTAAGGGGGGGGGGACCATGGGATAACGGGTTGGGGCAGCAGTTGTTTTAACCGACTACATTCTGCTGATGATGGGTAGAAAGTGCAGACTGGTCCAGCGCCTGCCTGTACAAACTAACGTAGGTTATTTTTTTATTGTTGGTGTTGGCATTATCGACTGAATGTATGAACGGCTATAGTTGATGAAGGATCTCTAAACCAACTGAGAAAGACCCACAGCTTGATTGGCTGAAACAGCCCTTTTACGGCATAGTTTTTTTTTACTTCGTAGATACGTGCCTGAGCGGCATGTCCCAAACTCTCAAACGTGATATGAGAGAAACAAATATCATAGACAGCAGTCCGGTGCACTCCAGTCAGTGTAAGAAGCGATAAAAACAGGCGAGGCATTCTATGCCTTCACCCCCACTGTGATGTAGCTAAACAATCGGGACACTTACAGCTGAATTTCCACGTGTTTTGCATTATCTGTGTTTTTGTTTTATCCGAGCAATGCCTCCTGGGCATGACCCTGGATAATCGAGAGTTGACTGTGCCATCGTACTTGTGTACGGAAACGTTTGCGTGCGCCGGTGCTTGTGTGGGTGTTCGCGTGCGTGTGTGTGTGTGTGTTGAATTTAATAGCGGTGGTGTAGCGTGCTTCGCTACGAACCTGGCGATCCGGGTTCGATTTCAGCTCACATACAAGACCAGGAACGATTATCTGAACTGGTCCTGGGCCTCCCCTAGGTCGACTCGGCCTCAAATGAGTACCTAGTGTGGTGCATAAACATCGCCATGAGGGAGACAAAGGCGGCCGGGCGTAGTGTTGGCCACCAACCCCCTCGTGTGCTGTGCCGGCCTTCATAGGTGCTCGCTAACAGCACTTGATCCACCAGTCTGTTACAGGCTATACGGGGGATCTTTGTCTTTATTGACTTTAGCGAGCACATGTGCATGTTTGTGTAGATGCGTGTGTGTGGCTAACGTGGAGAGCGGTGGCACAGTGGTTAGCACGCTGTGCTACGAACTCGGCGAGCCAGGTTCAATCCCCGCTCATGGCCAACACCAGTGACGATTGTCTGAACCTGCGTTGGATATCTCCTAGTTCGACTCAGCCTCAAATGAGTAACTGGTGCGATGTGTAAACATTGCCACTGGGGAGGCAAAGGCGGCCGGCCGTGGTTCTGGCCACCCACATCCTCGTGGTGCCGTGTCAGCCTTCATCGGTGCTCACTAACAGCACTTACCCCAAAGCTATATGGGGGAATCTTTGTCTTTGTGGCTCACGTGAGCGAGTGTGTGTGTGTGTGTGAGCCAGACGAAGTGGTGAGGACGGAGCTCACTCTCACGGTAGTGCTGCTGGGCATCACGGGGGAGAAGCAGGATGAGCTGATCAGCGACAGCAACGCGCGGAGCCACAACTACACGGTGATCTGCAATAAGGTGCGGCGTCTTGGCTGGGGCGCTCGGGGGGTTAGCGCAGCGGGGACGCTCGTGCCTCGCAGCAACAAGGACCTGGGTTCGATCCCCGACTCGGCGCATTTCTGCGTGGAGTTTGTATGTTTTCCCCGTGTTCTGCATAGGTTTCATCCAGATTCCCTATAAACTCAAAAAACATAGAATCTAACTAGTATTGGCCAAAACATCCCAATGCAACAAAAAATGTCTTGCAAATTACAGGCAATTGGGATTATACAGAGCAACATTGCTCCCTGCTGCAATAACTTACTAGGTCCATGCTGAAAAAGTGCATCGAGACTCAAACACTTTCTTGGGTTAACAAGTGTAAAGTAGTAGTAATAATTATGATTATTATTCTTTACGGTTTCTCTCTTTACGTTCAGGTGCCGACGTGCAACGAGCTGGTGGTGCTCCACCTGGGGTCGATCGCCTACGGCCACTACTTCGCACGTCTCCGCCTCCACGGGCTGGGTGACCTCGCCATCCCCGTGCGCCAGATTTACTTCACTGTGAGCGCACCGCCCGCCCGCCCCGCATGCACGCATGCTACTTCACCGCACGCATGCGTTTGGTGTTCTGGTGTGGTGGGGGGGGGGGGCAGGAGGGTAGCGATGGTAAGCGCCGCGCTGCGCTGCAAACTCGGCGATTTTGTGCTTGACGGCCAACACAAGTAACGATTATCTGAATCGGTCCTAGTCCTCTCCTATGTCGACTCGGTCTCAAATGAGTAGTACCTGGTGCAGCGCTGTGTTAACATCGCCACTGGAGAGACAAAGGTGGCCGGGCGTAGTGTGTGGCCACCCTCCCCTTCGTGTGCCGTGCCGGTCTTCATAGGCGTTACTCGCTAACAGCACTTGCCTGAGCAGTCTGTCAAGGCTACACGGGGGATCTTGGTGTTCTGAGAAGTGCTGTTGCGGCGTGCCGCCCGCCTTGTGCCGGCACTCGTCCACCACCGGTTGTATGCCTCCATCAGAGCAGCACGGAGAGACGGGAGAGATATTTACCAAAATTGTCACCGATTCAAACTGGATATCACCGTAATTGTTGCAAAAAATACCTAGGAATTAATTATAAATAAATAAATCAATCGATGTATTTGCCGGGTAAGGCTTACTGAGCTCTGTAGCTCTTTTTCAGAAGCGACCTGGCCACAAATGATAGCTCAACGAAGTGGCTTAAAAATCCACGCAACCACGGGGAGAACACGCAAACCCCAGTTATACAGGAGTTAGGGTTGGAGCTACTCCCTGTGGCCCTGATACAGCCCATGACTTAATTTCATACGGGTTGCGGTCACATTAAGCCTATCATTCTTAAACGGTCCGCACACAATATTTACTCGTCACTGCAGGCATCTTAGCTGCACTAATCGGGAATTAGAAGTGATGATTTTTCGACCTGGCAAACCGCCGTGTTTCTAATTTTCCTTGCGGATCGATCACCTGCAAGGACACCTTGAATGCGATATCACTTTCACCCACTTGTTGTACTGCCATGCCCTGGCTACTCGACCACTGAGTGAGTTGGGAATCTCACAAGTCATGATGGAAACTGCGGCCCCCCCCAATACCCTCTAATGAACCGGATTACAGGCGCATGCCACTTGCCTCGCTAATAAATATATCGAGTCCTTGAGATTTATGATAGCCTTCATCGAAAAAGGTTTGATTATGTTGGTTATTTGTACACTATACATTTGTTCACTTTGGTCAATCAAAGGACTGCACTGCTGCACCGCAAAAAGGATGGTGATTGCCATGTGCTCATTACTGTATGGGCTGTGAGTACAGTTGCCTCCGACATATTGGCTTGTAAATAATTTAAAATGCCCCGGAGCCAGCTGTAATTTACAGGGAGCCAGGCGGCGGCGGCGGCGCCTCGCTGCAGCAGATTGAGCGAGGCTCACGACACCTGGGAGGCAGCAGCGCTGACAGCGAGCGGGCTGGCTGACATCACCCCCGACGCGCTGACGAGCGAGACACTTGCGTGCGCTTGCGCTTGGCCCTGGAATGGCGCCTTCTGCCAGCAAGATTCCCCCCCCTGACGTTGTACCGGGGTTTGCCGTCTGTGAGAGCAAAATGCACAGCTCACGAAAAACATTTAAAACAGTTGGCAACAAAAAAACCCCTCGTGGGCCTCATCCCTGCAGAGTTGGGCTCTGCTCATTTGCAGAACTCCTGAGTTATGCGGACTGCCCTGATGTGCATGCTGGCTTTTAGCACTCTTCACCGTGCAGAAAGGTTGGGGCCCTATGTCTTTTGAACTTTTTTCACACCGTACCTAGCCAACCATGCTAATCGGAGGTGCTGTACAAGTGACGAATTGGCATGTTCTGTTTACGTGACAAACTTACTAGTTGGCTGTGTTGGGTGGTGGCGGGTTTTAACGACACATTTATATATTTACGCGATCTAACCCAAAAAAACCTCTATTAAGGATGACAAACTAAACACAAAAAACAGTTCTAAAGAAATGGAGGAATCTCGGAGTAGGAGAGTGGTGACGTCATCGCGCTCACTCTGCGGACACACCGGGCTGACCAATCGGGCTCACTCTGCCTCGTGCACACAAACGCACGGACATGTCGGTGGGCAAAACGAATCGCTCCCTTGTGGTGCACCTTTTTTGTGCCGAGCCATACTACAAAGATGGTTCGATCCCGACCCTGACGCCTGTATATTTCACGTTTGCACGTTTTCCCCTTGGTCGCACTTATTTTCTCACCGGGTCCTCCCGTTTTTCTCTCCACATTTAGAAACGTGCGTTGAGAGTCTTTGGCTGCTATAAATTTCCACGTGATAAGCCACTTTGTTGAGCTATCATTTGCGGCCAGGTCGCTTCTGAAAGAGCTACGTATCTCAGTTGGCCTTGCCTGGTAAAATAAAAACAATTTAGTTTTATATAATGTACATGATGATGAATAAGATAACGATAGCAATAGTGATAAATAAAGATGATGATGCAGATGTGGATGATGAGTGGTGTTAGGGATGATGGTGAATGAAGGTGATGGTGGTGATGAATCGATCGTGCGTTGTGCTCAGATTTCCCATCGTGCATTGCGCTGTGCTCTAGTTCATGATGTACAACAAGACGTTCACGCTCATCGAGGTGTGGTTCCGCTTCTTCTTCGTGCTGCTGAGCTTCATCATCATGGTACGCCCGGCGCTCGTTCGGGGGTGGCGCACGTTCGTGGCCTCCCCATCTACACGGCGGACACGTTGAACCCTCGACATGTGTTTTGCGGACCGCCGTGCCGTGCCGAGCATTGCCAGGTCTGCTGTTTTGGGAACAGAAATCGTTCCTGCGACAGCTCCGCGGACCTCGCCTTCGCAGAGCGCCGCCAGCGGTCCATGGACCACTGGTTGGGAACCACTGAACTGTTGGAGTACGGCAGTGCTCTTCACTGAGTTATAGAGGGGGACCACTTTCAGTGTGAGTGCCGTCACACATTTGAAACCAATGGGGGTTTGACAGCACAATGCTGGTGGGGGTGTTTTCAAATTTGTGTATTGTCGGGGGGCCGCACATCAGGGGCCGCTAGTGGCCCACGGGCCTTGGAATAAAGAACACTGGAGTATAGCGTACAATAATATAGGGTTGTTACGGATAGGCGTACCTTGTTTCCAAGTGGTAGTGCCTTATGCCAGTAATCCCTACTCCAAGCCAGCCTAGCAGCGTTCCACCAAATTTCGTCTGATTAGTTCGTTGTCCTTCCACCCGCACCTCCGATTAGCACGGTTGGCTACGTACGGCGTGAAAGAAGTTCAACATTCAAACATACGTAGAATATTTAGTACAAAAATTGACCCCGGTCGTTTTGTTAAGGGACCGGATTGACCGGCACGTGACGTGACGGCACACGGGAAACCCGCTGACTTACCATCAACTTCCGGGTTACTCAGGGTAATTGTGGAGGGGTAACCCAGATAAAATCAAAACCACACAAAAAAATCCAGAGCATATGTAAATGTGTGTATGTATATTGAACTTCTTTCGCACAGTACGTAGCCAACCTTGCTAATCGAAGGCTTTGAAACAGAATGGGAGTGATGATGTAGGGCACATTGTCCTTTGTTATTGCTTCGTTTCAAGGAATTTGTGTTTACTTGGGTCACTTGGACACCTCTTTACTGACCTCAATGAGTGTGGAACAGCTTATAAAGTTACTTATTGATTTTATTCGCAAACACGGTTAAATACACAACCCACTTTGTGTTTGGCTTACACAGGTAGCGTTCCAGCTTGATTCGGTCTTCTTCCTGAGCCCCACTTCCCACTATCGTTGCACAAGTCGGCACCTCTTGTAATGGAAACAATTTACGTAATTTATTTAGCAATGAAAACACGAGCGTTAGGACTCTTTGTACCTTAGTTTTGCAATGTAGTGTTCATTCTTGTGCAGCCCATCTGTTTGTAATGGGTATTTTGTGTGCGAGAGGAAACCAGAGTACTGCCACAAGGCTTACGAGAAGATACCACTTAGCAGTCCACGCAAACGAGAGAGACGCATGCTTGTTTTAGGACCATCTCCCAACCCCGTACATCTCTGCCAGTTGGAAGTCACCTATTGAGCCCCTTAATCCTACGTATAAAGCGATGGTTTATGGGGGCGTGTGACGCCGCTCCCTCCACGTTACGGCACTGTGCCTTGGTGTGCGCGTCTCGCCGGGTAATAGGGCGATGTGTCTTCCGCTTCCTCTACTCCCAATTGGCCGTTGCTTAATGAGAGGTCGCTTCTGCTCTTGCTGCCTTCATTGCAATTCTCTCCCTTCTGGTTGACTGTGCTTGCAACAACTCAACATAGCTCGACTGCTCTCAGTTTAACACGTAGGCTTTAAGACCAAAACAGGAGGATTTCTACACAACTCTGGCTGTCGCCTGATGATGCTAGTTATACTTCCAGGCGAAACATCGTACTCGAATTGTAAATGTTGTGGGTTTAATCTCCAACACATCGGTGTGCTGTACGAGTAATGAATTGGCACGTTTTGTTCATGTGACAAACCTTACTAATTGGCTGTGTCGGGTGGTAGTGGGTTTAAAGGCACATATTTACGCGATCTAACCCCAAAAAACTCGTATGTCTGCTGCTCTCGCTGACTCTCCCAATGAGACGTCTTCATTCTCACCTATACTGTGCTCGCCACGTAAGATTTTTCAGCCAATATTATGATTCATCGTTGAATATTATTAGTCTAAATCCATGTTGTTAAGGCCCTCCAACCGCCCGAGACAGCAAAATTCATGTATTTGTCACGCGTACGAGCATTTAGCGCACCAAGTTATTGTTTCAGCTCACGCACCAGTGAGTAAAAAAGATGAAACGTTTCACTTCAAACAACGTCAAACGGCATCAGTGTATGTATGTATGTTGAACTTGAACTTCTTTCGCACTGTACGTAGCCAACCGTGCTTAAAGGAGGTGCGGGTTGAAGGACGGCAAACTAAACACAAAAAGCAGTTCTAAATAAATGAAATTTTCAATCTAGATATAATTTAGGTGCATAGCTCCAGTGGCTTCCTAATCTCGGAAGGAAGAGCGTTCCAGACTGCTGCAGATGCGCATCATGTTAAGAATAAAATAACGTGCAGTAATACACCGGTATACGTCGGGGATGTGTTCCCAAAAGGTGCGACGACGAATATTGAAACTGCGTCAATCAAAGCGATTCGCAGGGTAGTAGTCGGTGGAGGCAAAGGGGAAGAGGCGACGGATAACGAGAGAGGACGTACGACGATGCTGTCAGTGACGTAAGCGTGTGGGGCTGAGGCGATTGCAAATCCAGGTAGCGGCGTTAATAATACAGTTACGACGTATTTGCCAAAACGACGTAAAAAGGGCTTGACGTAAATTTGGGTATTACTATGTAATAATAATACCGTACTGAGGTCATCGATTGTGTAACAGGGTGTCGTGCCTTTGGTATGACGCTGCGGCTGCTGCGATGTGCCTTGCAGTGCGTGTACGGCTGGCTCATGCTGAAGGTGCCGCTGCTGGAGTGGACTATGGAACAGAAGTGGACGACCGCTCTGCTGCCCATGCTCGTCCTCTACAACGGTGAGGCTGGGCCTGGGCTGCCACCTCCTGGCCCACGTGAGCATTGGAGACAAATGACTTCAGTTGGGATCGCACGGCAGTCATCGGCTCCCCTCCTGGCAACACCCGGTGCCCGATTTAAAGCCAAGTGCCGAGTCACGTCATTGCACCACGAGGGACCAGCTGCCGCTGGAGGTGCCTTTTCAAATATTTGAGACGAGATGCGTGTACTGTATTTTGGGGGAGCGGTAGTGTAGCGGTTAGCACGCTGCGCTACGAACCCGGCGAGCCGAGTTCGATACCGCTCTCGGCCAACACCAGTGACAATTATCTGAACTGGTCCCGGGCCTCCCCTAGGTCGACTCGGCCTCAAATTATTACCTGGTGCAGTGTGTAAGCATGGCCTCTGGGGAGACAAAGGCGGTCAGGTGTGGTGCTGGCGACCCACCCCCTCATATCCCGTGCCGGCCTTCATAGGTGCTCACTAACAGCACTTGCCCCAACAGTCTGTTAAGGCTTTACGGGGGATCTTTGTTCTTTATTTTACTGTATGTTTAACTTATTTCACACCGTACATAGCGAACCACGCTAATCGGAGGTGCAGGGCAAGAACAACAAACTAAAACACAAAAGCAGTTTTAATTAAATTAGTTTTCAATCTAGATGATTTAAAAGTGTCATAGCCACCGGTGGCTTTCTAATCACGGAAAGAAGACTTACAGACGGCCGCAGAAGCGCGAGCGAGATGTGATGTGAAGCGCTGTGAGCCGCTATGGCGTACGGGGCGCTGTGTCAAACACAATTCCGCGTCGTTATTGTCATTGCACGCACGGTTTGCGCAACCGTCCATGGTGGCTCAGCGATAGAGCGAGCAACTTGCAATCAACAAAAGTTGGGGCAGCCACATTTTTTCATCTCTTGAGCTGGCGGGTCTTGCCGACAAAATAGCCACACCCTTCCTGGCAAAAACACAGGAGGTGTTAAGATGTAAAAACACCAAATAGGCACACCTATTGCAAGGCATCAAGTGTGCATCAACCACACATGCTTGTGATAAAACAGTGTGGCAAGGCCACAAAGAAGGCTGTCTCTGTGTAGGTCAATCAGTTTCAGAGACAATGCATGCAGACTTGGTCCCTTGCAATAGGTGTCTATTTGGTGTTGTGGGCACCACGGTGGCTAGAAGTTAAATACCTCACCTCGTATACAGGAGGTTGTGGGTTCGATCCTGACTCTGACACCTGTATAGTTGGAGTTTGCATGTTCGTCCTCCAGTTTTTCCCTCTACATTTAGAATCACCATGCGTTTAGAGTGTTTGGCTGCAATAAATTGCCACATAATAAGCGACTTTGTCGAGCGATCATTTGTGGCCAGGTTGCATCTGAAAAAGAGTTACATAGCTCAGTGGGCCTTACCTGGTAAAATGAAAATAGTTGAAATAGTTTGAGCATCTGAACACCTGTGTTATTGCCACAAAGGGTAAAGCCTATTCTTCTTCACATCACTTTGATACCCGCACAAAAGTCCCTCAATAAAATGGCCACGCATTCAGTTTTGGATAAGGCTAAGATTTTCTACATGCAATGCTGCACACCTTTACATTAAACCTGTTTGTTTTCAGCCAGCACGAATGTGTCTGTTGGAATTGGAGGTCTCATCATTTACAGATTTGAAATTATCAGGTTTTCTTTAGAATTCAGGCTGGGGGTCATCGCAGCCCACGCAACCTTCCAAGGCGTATAAATAAATACCACTTTGTATGTACATATGTTGAACTTCTTTCACACCGTACGTAGCCAACCATGCTAATCGTTCGTGTTGTTAGTCAACAGTGGTTGTCCTATGGAATGGACTCAAATGAATGCAGAATTGCTACCCCTGGCTCAGGGCCGTAACCAGTAGATGAGCACCGCCTGGATGCGCGCGTGTGTGTGTGTGTGTGACGCCAGTGTGTGTGTGTGTGACGCCAGCATGTGTGTGTGTGACGCCAGCGTGTGTGTGTGACGCTAGCGTGTGTGTGACGCCAGTGTGTGTGACGCCAGCGTGTGTGTGACGCCAGTGTGTGTGACGCCAGCGTGTGTGACGCCAGTGTTTGTGTGTGTGTGACGCCAGTGTGTGTGTGTGTGACGCCAGTGTGTGTGTGACGCCAGCATGTGTGTGACGCCAGTGTGTGTGACGCCAGTGTGTGTGTGACGCCAGTATGTGTGTGTGTGTGACGCCAGTGTGTGTGTGACGCCAGTGTGTGTGTGTGTGTGACGCCAGTGTGTGTGTGACGCCAGTGTGTGTGTGTGTGTGACGCCAGTGTGTGTGTGACGCCAGTGTGTGTGTGACGCCAGTGTGTGTGACGCCAGTGTGTGTGTGTGTGACGCCAGTGTGTGTGTGATGCCAGCGAGTGTGTGATGCCAGCGAGTGTGTGATGCCAGTGTGTGTGGGACGCCAGTGTGTGTGACGCCAGTGTGTGTGACGCCAGTGTGTGTGACGCCAGTGTGTGTGACGCCAGTGTGTGTGTGACGCCAGTGTGTGTGTGATGCCAGCGAGTGTGACGCCAGTGTGTGTGACGTCAGCGTGTGTGTGACGCCAGTGTGTGTGACGCTAGCGTGTGTGTGACGCCAGTGTGTGTGTGACGCCAGTGTGTGTGTGACGCCAGTGTGTGTCACGCCAGTGTGTGTGTGACGCCAGTGTGTGTGTGACGCCAGAGTGTGTGACGCCAGTGTGTGTGTGACGCCAGAGTGTGTGACGCCAGTGTGTGTGTGACGCCAGTGTGTGTGTGACGCCAGTGTGTGTGTGACGCCAGTGTGTGTGACGCCAGTGTGTGTGACGCCAGTGTGTGTGTGACGCCAGTGTGTGTGGCGCCAGTGTGTGTGACGCCAGTGTGTGTGTGCCCCTGCCCAGACCCGCTGTTCCCCGTGTCCTTCGCGCTGCGCAACTGGGTGCCCGTGCTGCTGGACGCTGGCTTCCAGGCCTCCTTCCTCGCCGGCCTGCTCTTGTTCTGGCTTTGCGCCTTCCACGATCTGCTCCTGCAGGTCAGCCTGTTATTATATCATTATAATTTAGCTCATTCAGCCAGAAAAGCCTCGCTTGATGAAATTCTCTTTCTTTCAGGAGGGTCCTGCCAAGTTTTGTAGAAGGCTGGAGGGGGCGGGGTGGGCAATGTTGCTACCACCACGTGTAATCCGAAAATGAGTAATTTTCAAGAAATGTTTGAGCTTTGTGATGTTGGGCCGATCCCGGTGACGTTCTACAGTTTCTTTAGCTGTGGGTGGGAACTGCCGGGGAGAGAACAGACCCCACGCGGAGAGACACCCGAGCCGGGAATCGAACCCAGTACCTTCCTTCTGTTAGGGGCGAATGTTACCACAGCACGATGCTTCTTGCACCCACAGTCTGCCTCTAGCACGGTCGTGAATTTCTCTCGGATGGGTCGTGCAGGTGCGTGCGTGGGTGCGTCTTCAGCTGAGACGAGCATCTCTGAAGTGTCGAGTTCCTTTTAAAACCAAAACCAAATGACGCTGCCCTGAACATTGGTCAAAAGTAAAACCCCGGCAGGATAATCTAGTCCCGTCGTGTTATTGTTCAGTGCTGGGCTATATCACTCTGTCTGTCACAGTTCAAGTTTCACATCCTTGGTGCAGGAGGTAATGATGTCATTAAGTATTTAATTGGCTGGCATGGCTTAGCAGAGGTACACTGACATGGGTTTGGGAAATGTCAGTGAGCTGCTTTGTAAAGAGATGTGCTGAGGAGGAGTGTGCTTGTGTGACGGCCTCTGCCTCCCAATGGCTCGACTAAACGTCGTGCCCTCCTGTGGATTTTAGAAGATAGACTCGGTCTGTGAGACTCATGTATACCACTGTGTTCACCGTATTGCGGGTCACCACATCACGAAGGCGAAGATCCCCCTTATCGCCTGAAGGGATTTTTGTGGCAAGTGCTGTTAGCGAGTACCTATGAAGGCTGCCACTGTACAAGAGGAGGTGGGTGGCTACCATTCATGACCAGACCGCCTTTGTCTCCCCAGTGACAATGTTTACACTCCGCACTAGGTACTAATTTGAGGCTGAGTTGACCTAGGAGAGGCCCATGACCAGTTCAGATAAGCATCACTGGTGTTGGCCGTGAGCGGAAATCGAACTCAGGTCGCCGGGTTCGTAGTGCAGCGCGCTAACTATTGCACCACCATTCCCCAAAACAGTGCAATCACAGATTCACTCACTCTCTCACTCATCCACTCACTCGCCCACTCTCCCACGCACCCATCCACTCATGCCCTCACTCACCCACCGAACCACCAGACTGCAGGTCACCACACTTCTCATTTTGCTTCTTCCCTCACGCTGTTCCTCTTTGAAATTCCCTCCTATCACATCTAGATTCCCATGCTCTTATAATAGTAGCCGTATTCAATTCAAGATACTTTTTACACTGTTACCTATTACAACTTGGCTCATGCTGTTTTTGCAAGTCAGTTGACATTTTGGACCCTTGGATTCGTGCTCAGCAACTATATTAAAAACTTAGATAAAACCAGAAACTATAAACTATTTTTTATTTTACCAGGTAAGGCCTACTGGGGTATACAGCTCTTGTTCAGAAGTGACCTGGGCACAAACGATAGCTCAGCGAAGTGAATTATTGCGTGGAAATGTATTGCAGTCAAATACTCAAAAAAGCATGTTTCTAAACGTGGAGGAAAAAAACGGAGGACCTGGAGAAAAATCCACGAGACCACGGGGAGAGAGAGACACGCAAACACCTAATATACAGCAGCAGGCACCAGGGTCGAGATCGAACCCACGACCTCCTGCATACCAGGCGAGGGCGATAACCACCAAGTAGCTGCTGCTACCCACAGCAGGGACAGCGAATGGGTACGAGTCGTGCAATTCACCACATTTTGGCCACGCTTAATCCGGAACTGGTGAGCCAACTTTTGTTCCCAGAAATTAATTTACTTTAATATTGAGTTATGTTTGCTCGACTGTTTTTGTTTTCTTCTGTGATGCGGTCGTGTTTTTCGCATTAACTATTAACTATTATTTTTTTTCCAACTTGTTTCGTTGTTATACTTTGTTTTTACGTGATTGCTTTTTTTTATTTTGGTGACCCCGGCTACCAGTCGGTCACTTGCAAGCGGGACTAATAAAATACCATGTTGACATGCGCCCTCGCAGCCCAACCGCCGGTGCTTCCTGGGCTTCTACCTGCCGAAGCTGGTGATCGTGGGGCCCATGTGGCTCCTGGCGCTCACCCTGGGTGTCTGGAGGATGTACGTAGTACCGCGCACCAGATAAACAGTGACAACGGTGACGAGTGCCCCCTTGGTTTCACCTATGAAAGGGCCCCACATGAGCCTCAGCTTACATAAGCAGACAAGACGCCTCCTTCCCCGTATCTTGCCTCCCCATAAAAAAAAAAACAGTAATTCCTAATTCCACGCGATAGACGCCTTCCTTGAAAAGTGCTGCGTTGAGCAAAAAAACGCATCAAGCGAGGAATTGCTATATACACATTACAGGGTATAAATAAGTGAAAATAGTGCAAATTTATCCATAGTAGGGGTTTTTTGGGTTAGATCACGTAAATATTAATGTGTCGTTAAACCCACCACTACCCGACACAGCCAGTTAGTAAGTTTGTCACTTAAATAAAAAGTGCCAATTGGCAGTTCAGCACTCTGGTGTGTTGGAGAGTAAACCCACAACATTTACAATTCGAGTACCCTGACGACGTTGCGTTGGTAATTACAATCAGCCTCATCAGGCGACAGCCAGCCAATTGTAGCCCAAAAATCTCATATACATAATATTGGTTGCGAAAGCCTACGTGTTAAAATTGCAAATTGGAATCACATTTGTGCTATTAAATCAGCCTGGAGTCATCCCCATGGCCAGACAAAGAACTGAGATGAGAGGCGCCACTGCTTACTGTATCATTCCGTGTGTGTACCCAGAATTCCCGTACCACTGAGCCGCCCAGCTCAAGAAAGTAGTCATCGACAGCTCAGGAACCGCATTATTACAACGGGGCGTGTTCTGTGTTGTATCTAAAGGGTTCCCAAATAGAAAGCTGCGCTATTGACAAAACTCGTGTAAACAAGTGTTAAGCAAGGACTTACCATTAAAGTATTTTTTACACATCTCATCAGCCGTTGGTTCGGCACAAACTCTGGATCGGTTTTGACATTAGTGTGTCATCAGTAGAGTCTAGCTTGCTTGGAATACTCCCAGTATAGTTTTTTTATATCAGATGTTAACTACCTCGCGTGGTATACAGGAGGTTGTGGGTTTGATCTCGACTTTGACGCCTGCTGCTGTATATATGGAGTTTGCGTGTCTCTCTATCATCATCATCATCACGGTGGCTAGGAGATGTTAACTACCTCGCGTGGTATACAGGAGGTTGTGGGTATGATCTCGACTTTGACGCTTGCTGTATATGTGGAGTTTGCGTGTCTCTCTTCCCCGTGGTTGTGTGGATTTGTCTCCGGGTTTTCTGGTTTTTCCCTCCACATTTAGAAAACAGGAGTTTAGAATATTTGACTGCTATACATTTTCACGTGATAAGCCGCTTCATTGAGTTATCATTTGTGATAACCAGGTCGCTTCTAATAAAGAGCTACATAGCTCAGTGGGCCTTACCTGGTAAAATAAAAAAAAAATTGTTTAGTTTTAAGTTTAAGAATAAGGCCGGCCACCCCGGTAATAAAATTACAGCGGGTGGATTAACTGTGAAATACACGCCACCCGCTTCACAGTGGATGTAAGAAATCCCGTGACGTCATTTGCAAAAAAGTAGGCCATTGTGTGCTGGCGTCATCGCATTTGTGTGTGTGTGCCGCCCCGTGACGCCACTTGTGTTGATTTCCTGCAGCGTCAACGAGAACTACGACCCGTCGTACCACTATAGGGTGGACGCCGGGGTGTTCCTGGTGAGTGTGAGCATTCGGCATTCGCCAGATGAACCGGTATGCGCCTCAGCCGTGCCCCTGTGCGTGTGGACATCGACCGTTGGGGGGGGAAACAAAGGTGGCCGGGCGTGGTGCTGGCCATGCCAAACCCCCCCCCCCGCCATGTGCCGTGTTGGCCTTCATAGATAGGTGCCCGCTAACAGCGGTCTGTTATGGCTTTATGGGGGATCTTAGCCTTTGTGCCGTTGCAGAGTGGTGAGCACTGGTGATGCATCTGCCAGCCATCGTCGTCAACCCATAACCCCTGTGGGTCTTAAAAACTAAAACTAAACTGTTTTTTTATTTTACCAGGTAAGGCACACTGAGCTATATAGCTCTTGTTTTAGAAGCGACATGGCTATCACAAATGATAACTCAACGAAGTGCATTATCATTTGGACATTTATAGCAGCCAAATAATCTAAACGCATGTTTCTAAATGTCGAGGGAAAAGCCAGGGTTGGGATAAAACGCACGACCTGTATACCAGGCGTGGGAGTTAACATCTCGCCACCGGGGCACCGTGCTCTCTTGCCAGTAACACTTCACGTGGCCTCAGTGCTTTCAGACCAGCACTGGTCCAGTGGTGACGTCACCGTCACTCGGGTGAACGGCGGCTGTGGTTGTGTGTGTGTGCGTGCGTGGGAAGCGGTAGTGCAACGGTTGGGATGGTACACTACGAACCTGGCGACCTGAGTTCGGTTCCCTCTCACGGCCAACACGAGTGACGATTATCTGAATTGGTCCTGGGCATCCACTAGGTCGACTCAACCTCAAATGAGTACCTGGTGCGATGTGTAAACATCGCCACTGGGGAGACAAAGGCGGCCGGGCGTGGTGCTGGCTACCCACCCCCTCGCGTGCCGTGCCGGCCTTCATAATTGCTACTCGCTAACAGCACTTGCCCCAGTAGTCTGTCAAGGCTACGCGGGGGAGCTTTGTCTTCGTGCGTGTCACCTGTCGACAGGCCCTCAAAGTGGTTTTCTTTCTCCTGGGCGGCCTCTACCTGTGCTACCTCTTCATGCTCGTGGGACGCTCCTTCAGACAGCTCAAGCAGACCAACTATCACGGTGAGCGCTGCCAACCCCCTTGCACCCGGCCACCCGAGCAGCCGCCCCCTGCTCGGTTGACGGAGCATTCCCTGTGCTCTTGGAAATTGCTCTGTGCTTAATTTTATTTCACAGCACTTAGAGTCAGATCAAAACAGGCCCAAAGAGGCTTCAAATGTCACGATGACCTCTCTAAAATTGCGATGTGGAAGCCTTGGATTATGAGTCGCTGTAAACAAAGGTCTTTGGGCCGGCGTGCCTCGGTGCGTAACCTCCACTATTGGCTTCTCACAAAGTGGCACTAATTTTAGCAACCCCGGAGGGATGATGGGCTGAGCCAACCCCCAAGTGGGATTTGAGAACTTTTTTTTTATTTTACCAGGTAAGGCCCAATCAACTATTAGCTATTTTTCAGAAGCGACCTGGCCACAAATGATAGCTCAACGAAGTGGCTTATCACGTGGAGATTTATAGCAGCTAAATAATCTAAACGTGCAGGTTGAAAAACGGAGGACCCGGAGAATAATCCCCACGACCACGGGGAGAGAGAGAGTCGTTCAAACTCCAAATATACAGCAGGCGTCAGGGTTGGGATGGAATCCATGACCTCCTGTATGCCAGGCGAGTGATTCCACACTGCAGGGTAAGAAACGTGTGGAGCGTGCGCTGTGACGATACCGATTCCTCCGTGGTCGTAGCTGCTGGACATCTGTGAAAAAGAGCGTCATAACTCATCAGATTCCTCCAGGCTAAATAGAGATTCTGCTGCTGCTGTGTGCAGGCAAGGATTCCATGATACAGGTGCTCATCCCAAATCTACGCCTCAAGTTCCTCACCGTCTTCACCTTCATCGTCCTGGCCATCAGGTGAGCCCATCGCCCATCACGCAACCCGTGCTGATCCGTGTGGTGAAGTACGGTGAAATGACCCCCCTTGATTCGCACGCCATAGGGGGAGGCCCCCTTGTCCAGCAGCAGATTGACACAGGGGCTGTGCATGCACAAAACGTGAACTGGCCAGGTCAGTTTTCGGGTTCGGAAGGTTGCAAGTTCAAAACCACCGGACAGCGATTAACTCGAACCATCAGCATTCGGACAGCATTATCGCAGTGTATAATTATCGTTACACACAGCATTATCGCTGCTCTCTTCATTACCTACAGCAGGGGTCGGGAACCTTTTTGACTAAGAGAGCCATGAAAGCAAAAAATTTGGAAATTTATTTCAGTGAGAGCCATATAGTATATTTTAAAAGTGAATTCAACTAAATGTCAGTATAATAAGCCTCTGAATTTATTCTTTTAAATAATGTTGTTATAACACTCACCATTAATGCGACTTCTGGTGCTGCATGGATTTGCTGATGTCTTTGTAGTCGGGTTGGTACTTGGTGAGGTTAAGCTTCATGCAAGCGTTGAGGCTTTCATCCGTTAAACGTGATCGTAGGTTGGACTTGATGTTTTTAAGATGTGAGAATGACTGCTCACATGCATACGTAGATCCAAACATGGTCAATACAGCAATACTCACACGCTGCAGTGTGTGGTATGTGACAGGAAGCGCGTTCCAAGTTTTGAGAATCAGCTGGTCTTCGGGTTGGAGTTTTTTCATTTCTGTCCACATGTGCTTGCTCGCCAACTCCGCTTTCTGTCGTGTGATTCTTTCCAAATCTTCATTCAGTGACTTGAACTTATTCACCCACATGTCTGAGGCCTTCAGGTCAGCCACTTCTGCTTCAAAATCTCTGACGGAGACACCAGGGATGTAATTCAGGTCGGCTGTGTTCAGTGAACACTCGTTTGGATGGGTGATGAACTTAAAAAGACGAGTGTGCTCACGAAATTCTCCAAAGCGTGCTTTGAAGGACTGTAGGAGACTGGATGTGCAGCCAGCTAGCTGGTGGAGATCAAGGTTTTGAATGGGCTCACTTGCTGTGCATGCATCTTTAAATTGGCTCAGTTTTTCAAAATGTAGTAAACGACCTGTTTCAAGATCCGTGATGAAAAGCTCCAGCTTGTTTTCAAAAGCAAATACAGCTTGTTGAAGGGATAACACTGTATTTCCAATGCCTTGCATTTTTACGTTGAGCTGGTTCAGATGTTCAGTCAGATCTACGAGATAGTAAAACTTGAGGAGCCACTCGGTGTCGGCTAGCTCAGGATGCCCGACGCCTTTCATTTCAAGGAAAGTCCGGATTTCGTTCAGGCAAGCCGCAAAACGGCTAAGCACCTTCCCTCTTGACAACCAACGCACATTGCTGTGCAAAAGCAGACCAGGATAGTTATTTACAACTTCATCCAGCAGTGTTTTAAACTGGCGATCATTTAAGGCTCGGGCAACAATAAAGTTGATCACACGAATGACCAGCGACATCACTTCGCCAAACTGCCTGTCACACATCTGAGCACAAAGTGCCTCCTGGTGTATAATGCAATGGAAACTTAGGATGGGTCTATTTTCATGTTCACGGAGAAGCGCCACAAATCCTTTGTTTTTCCCCACCATACACGGAGCACCATCAGTACACACTGAGAGAAGTTTATCCATAGGTAGACTTTTTTCTTGAGCAAACTCCATGAAAGACTTGAATAAATCCTCACCTTTTGTGGACCCTTTTAATGGCAGAACAGCAAGACTTTCTTCGCGCAGTGTGTCACCAACAGCATATCTTGCAATCACGCTGAACTGCGACAAATGGCTCACGTCTGTTGACTCATCCAAAGCCAGAGAAAAGAACGGCGCTGCATTTATGTCCTTCACTTGCGTTTCCTCCACTTTGTTTGCCATCACGATGGTACGATCATGAACAGTTCTTGCCGACAGAGGCATGTCTTGTATCCGTTTGATTATCTTGTCTTTGTTCGGAAGATCATCAAAAAGTTCATTGGCTACATCCAGCATGAACGTTTTAGCATACTCGCCATCTGTGAATGGTTTTCCGTTCCTCACTATTGCTAAAGAACCAGCAAAGCTAGCCGAATTATAGTCACCTTGCCGGGTCCATACGCGGAGTTGCTGCTGGCTAGCTTGCACCCTGCTCAGAAGCTCTTGGCACGCTTTCTTTCTGCTGTCTCCCGCAGGGTATTTTGATGCAAAGGTAGCATGGCGCGTGTCGAAGTGCCGCTTTACATTCGACCGTTTCAACGATGTAATTTTGTCATTGCAAATTAGACACACCGCAGAACCCGCTCTCTCCACAAAGGCGAATTCTTCGGTCCATTCGTCCTGAAATGTACGATACTCGTCGTCTTTTTTTCTTTTCGCCATCTTCTTCGTCGAAGGGTTAGCTTTGAGCTAATGACCGAGCAGACGCAGTCTCAGACTGATTCAAAAGGGGGTGTTTACCTGTTTTACCCAGCAACGGCAAACGTAGGCCAGTATCATCCAATTAAAATAATGGACAATTGCTCCTGCAGCCCTGAACAGGACATGCGCAGTGAAAAATCGATGGATGGATTAAAACAAGTGAGAATATTTTGTTTTATCTGCGAGCCATATGCAATCATCAAAAGAGCCACATCTGGCTCGCGAGCCATAGGTTCCCGACCCCTGACCTACAGCATTATCCCTGCTAGCATCATTACACACAGCATTATCGCTGCTAGCTTCATTACAAGCAACATTATCACTGCTAGCATCATTACACACATTATCCCTGCTAGCATCATTACACACAGCATTATCGCTGCTATCTTCATTACCTACAGCATTATCGCTGCTAGCATCATTACACACAGCATTATCCCTGCTAGCTTCATTACACACAGCATTATCACTGCTAGCATCATTACACACATTATCCCTGCTAGCTTCATTACACACAGCATTATCACTGCTAGCATCATTACACAGCATTATCCCTGCTAGCATCATTACACACATTATCCCTGCTAGCTTCATTACACACAGCATTATCACTGCTAGCATCATTACACACAGCATTATCGCTGCTAGCTTCATTACATGCAAAATTATCGCTGCTTTCTTCATTACGCACAGCATTATCGCTGCTAGCATTTATACACAGCATTATCGCTTCTGGCTTCATTACACACAGCATTATCGCTGCTAGCTTCATTACATGCAACATTATCACTGCTTTCATTACGTACAGCATTATCCCTGCTAGCTTCATTACACACAGCATTATCGCTGCTAGCTTCATTACATGCAACATTATCGCTGCTTTCATTACGTACAGCATTATCCCTGCTAGCTTCATTACACAGCATTATCGCTGCTAGCTTCATTACATGCAACATTATCGCTGCTTTCTTCATTACACACAGCATTATCGCTGCTAGCATCATTACAAGCAACATTATCGCTGCTAGCATCATTACACACAGCATTATCGCTGCTAGTTTCATTACATGCAACATTATCACTGCTTTCATTACGTACAGCATTATCGCTGCTAGCTTCATTATACACAGCATTATCGCTGCTAGCTTCATTACAAGCAACATTATCGCTGCTTGAATCATTACACACAGCATTATCACTTCTAGCTTCATTACACACAGCATTATCGCTGCTAGCTTCATTACACACAGCATTATCGCTGCTAGCTTCATTCCACGCAGCATTATCGCTGCTAGCTTCATTACACACAGCATTATCGCTGCTAGCTTCATTACACGCAACATTATCGCTGCTAGCATCATTACACACGGCATTATCACTGCTAGCTTCATTACACACGGCATTATCGCTGCTAGCATCATTACACAGAGCATTATCGCTGCTAGCATCATTACACACAGCATCATCGCTGCTAGCTTCATTACACACAGCATTATCGCTGCTAGCATCATTACACACAGCATTATCGCTGCTAGCTTCATTACACACAGCATTATCGCTGCTAGCATCATTACACACAGCATTATCGCTGCTAGCTTCATTACACACAGCATTATCGCTGCTAGCATCATTACACACAGCATTATCGCTGTTAGCATCATTACACACAGCATTATCGCTGTTAGCATCATTACACACAGCATTATCGCTGCTAGCATCATTACACACAGCATTATCGCTGTTAGCATCATTACACACAGAATTATCGCTGCTTTCTTCATTACGTACAGCATCATCGCAGCTCGCTACAGGATCATCGTGTGATGACAAACAGCGTTAACTTCACTGTGCTGTGTTTGCTGAAGTCACGTTTTACACTACCGATGTATTCTCATTGGGGAGAGTCGCCCGCTCACCTTGCTGCGTACAATGGTCGCAACCTAACGACTGCGATTCTGTTTTTGCCGTGACCGCAGCTTTGCCATCCTCTTCCTGAGGTTTGGGATTCATGGCCTTCAGGACAACTTTGTCGCTGAGCTGTCCACGCACTACAAGAACTATATCCTCTTGCCGACCGGAGCATTAACCGATTGCCACTCCGCGGTGCCACGCTGTGCGGTTCTGCGCAAACGAAGCATCCTTGTTTTGCTTTCAACATTTTACTCCAGTTGTGCTTTTGGCGTCATCATGAATAATGCGTCATAATTTATTACCGCCGGTGTTGGCCCCATTATTATTATTATCGCGTGAGGCCGCCGCGAAGGCACTGTGTTTCACGGACACGGTCTGCAGTAGGTTCACTCATACGGGGCAACGTTGCTGTGTGACCCCGATTTGAGTTATTTGCGGGTAATTTCAAATGTTAGCAAATGCGGACCACGACGCCGACACACAAGAGCCTACACTTTTCGAATGACGTTGCCTCGATCTTTGACATTCGCTCTGAAGTGGACGGCCCACGTATTGTATGGTTATATGCACCCACAGTGATAACCGGCGCAGCCTATTTGACCTCATTCCATGCCATGGGCCAAGTCACCAACTCCTCTACAGTCTTAATACATTTATAACTTGATAACAAGCTGTGTGCAATCTCATTGTGCCAAATAACAGCCCTGATAATGTGGTGTTACAAAACTACTGCTTGAAGTCACTTCAGTAGCTTCTTAGCCACATGACGTCATGCACCTTCCCACATGGCCCGCAAAGAGCTTTTATGCTTTGATTTAAAGCTTTCGTGACTGCAGTAATTCATATTCTTAGTTCTTTCGGTAAAGTCACGTTGAAGGGAAACAATAAAATAATAAAATATATATAAAACAATAAAAATTCTCACGACGTTTCGACCATAACACAAAAGAAACGTCGTGAGAATTTTTATTGTTTTATATATATTTTATTATTTTATTGTTTCCCTTCAACGTGACTTTACCGAAAGAACTAAGATTATAGCTTTTATGCTGTAAACCAAACAATGTTAACCATCAAGAGCTGGAATATGGCAAAACCAAAGATAGGGTCCTAGCCTATAAACATCTGGCAGTTTACCAGTGTTGGTTAAAGCAAGTCGGAAACTGCTGATGAGACACTGAATGTACAAACCCGTCCAGAGTTTGCTTGTTTCGAACCAATGCCGTTGAAAAGAAAATCACCATGAAAAGGCCAGGCGACCAGTGAGTTGTGTACCAAAAATACTTTTTTTTATGTGGAGGGACAGAGATGGGAAGAAATAGAATTGTCTGCTTATTTATTTTGTTATTTTTATTTATGAGCCTGAGTTGTATTCTTGACTTGGGGCACCTTTCGATACGTTTCTCCCCCTGCTCACCATGGGTTTCCTCCGGGCTCTCGAGTTTCATCCCAATCGTTAAAAACGTAGAGTCGCATTGGTGTTGGCCAAGCATCCCAATGCAGGACCTTCCTGAAAAAAAGTGTTCAGCCTCGGTGTGGCTTTTCTGGATGAACAAGTAAATAATAAACTATTAATAAACTTTTTATTTTACCAGGTAAGGCCCACTGAGCTGTATAGCTTTTTTTCACAAGCGACCTGGCCACAAATTAGAGCTCAACGAAGTAACTAATAATGTGGAAATGTATAGCAGCCAAATATTCTACAACACTCGTTTCTAAATGTGGAGGAAAAATCGGAGGACCTGGAGAAAATTTCGATTGAAAGCTTTCGTGACTGCAAGGATTCATCTTCTTTGGTTCTTTTGGTAAAGTCACGTAGAATGAGAATAAAATAATAAATTGATAAAATAAAATAACACAATAATATTCTCACGACGTTTCGGCCACAACACAAGCAGCCTTCATCAGGTGAAGGAACGAGACTGTCTGGTAGGACACTCCAGCGCTGTTCTCCAGACAGTCTCGTCCCTTCACCTGATGAAGGCCGCTTGTGTTGTGGCCGAAACGTCGTGAGAATATTATTGTGTTATTTTATTTTATCAATTATTTTATTCTCATTCTACGTGACTTTACCGAAAGAACCAAAGAAGACCTGGAGAAAAATTCACACGACTACGGGAAGGGAGACACGCAAACTCCAAATAAACAGCAGGCCTCCTGTCTACCAGGCGAGGTAGTTAACCACTCTTAGCCACCGTGGCATAACAGGTGCCTGGCCTTAACCGCCAACCACCCGCAGAGTTCCTCACCTTCTTTGCCGTGCTCAACTTCTACATGTACACGCTGGCCTTCGTCTACTCGCCATCCAAGTTCGCCGCTAGCGGTAAGGACGCTCGACCGAGTCGCCCATCTTCCCGCTCACACGAGCGAGCGACGGCCGAGCCGGTGGTGAAATCTGAAAATTTCCACCACTGTGCTCAGGGCAACCCCAATGGAAGGGGGGTAGGGGGGGGGGCTGAGCCTGTTGACTCCTTTTCAAGAGGGTCCTGCCACACGTTATCGCAGTAGGTGGCGGCGTCGCTGCTGTGTGTGGGAGCCCAATTGAGTCATTTTGTAGAGTGATTCTTTTCAGCATCGGGATGTTTGGCCAATACCAGTTACATTGTGTGTTTTTTGTTGTTGTTAAATATAACTCAGCATTTCAAACCTGTAGCCTTTGTAGAATGTGAATAGACAGGCCTGGCACAACCCAGTGAGTGACATCCACCGATGTACTTAAAGGGCTTCTTGAGCTTGGCCGTGCAGAACAGGAGGCAGAACAAACAAGCCCCTCGTGGAAACGTACCCGAGGCATGAGCTGAACCCCCCAGGCCCTGCTTGCCGCGAGGTGCGAGCGTTACCACTGCACCAGCCTGCCGCCTCCTCCCAACGTAGGGAGTGACTGCGGGCGCACTGTGAAATCTCCGCTGGTTATTCCCAGAGTATGGCCAAGACGAGAACGCTCAGCCCATGCTGAGGCGGTCGTACTCCCTGCGCAGCTCATCCATCAAACCAGGTGCCCACACACACAGTGCTTGGTGCCCACACACACACACACAGTGCTTGGTGCACACACACACACACAGTGCTTGGTGCCCACACACACACACAGTGCTTGGTGCACACACACACACAGTGCTTGGTGCCCACACACACACAGTGCTTGGTGCACACACACACACAGTGCTTGGTGCACACACACACACACAGTGCTTGGTGCACACACACACAGAGCTTGGTGCCCACACACACACACACAGTGCTTGGTGCACACACACACACACACAGTGCTTGGTGCCCACACACACACACAGTGCTTGGTGCACACACACACACACAGTGCTTGGTGCACACACACACACAGTGCTTGGTGCCCACACACACACACAGTGCTTGGTGCACACACACACAGAGCTTGGTGCCCACACACACAGTGCTTGGTGCACACACACACACACAGAGTGCTTGGTACCCACACACACACACACAGAGCTTGGTGCCCACACACACACACACAGTGCTTGGTGCACACACACACACACACAGCGCTTGGTGCACACACACACACAGTGCTTGGTGCACACACACAGTGCCTGGTGCACACACACACACACAGTGCTTGGTGCACACACACACACACACAGAGCTTGGTGCCCACACACACACACACAGTGCTTGGTGCCCACACACACACACACAGTGCTTGGTGCCCACACACACACACACACAGTGCCTGGTGCCCACACACACACACACAGTGCTTGGTGCCCACACACACACACACAGTGCTTGGTGCCCACACACACACACAGTGCTTGGTGCACACACACACACACAGTGCTTGGTGCCCACACACACACACAGTGCTTGGTGCACACACACACACACAGTGCTTGGTGCCCACACACACACACAGTGCTTGGTGCACACACACACACAGTGCTTGGTGCACACACGCACACACAGTGCTTGGTGCCCACACACACAGAGCTTGGTGCCCACACACACACACACAGTGCTTGGTGCACACACACACACACAGTGCTTGGTGCCCACACACACACACAGTGCTTGGTGCACACACACACACAGTGCTTGGTGCACACACACACACAGTGCTTGGTGCACACACACACACACAGTGCTTGGTGCACACACACACACACAGTGCTTGGTGCACACACACACAGAGCTTGGTGCCCACACACACACACACAGTGCTTGGTGCACACACACACACACAGTGCTTGGTGCCCACACACACACACAGTGCTTGGTGCACACACACACACACAGTGCTTGGTGCACACACACACACACAGTGCTTGGTGCCCACACACACACACAGTGCTTGGTGCACACACACACAGAGCTTGGTGCCCACACACACAGTGCTTGGTGCACACACACACACACAGAGTGCTTGGTACCCACACACACACACACAGAGCTTGGTGCCCACACACACACACACAGTGCTTGGTGCACACACACACACACACAGCGCTTGGTGCACACACACACACAGTGCTTGGTGCACACACACAGTGCCTGGTGCACACACACACACACACAGTGCTTGGTGCACACACACACACACACAGAGCTTGGTGCCCACACACACACACACAGTGCTTGGTGCCCACACACACACACACAGTGCTTGGTGCCCACACACACACACAGTGCCTGGTGCCCACACACACACACACAGTGCTTGGTGCCCACACACACACACACAGTGCTTGGTGCCCACACACACACACAGTGCTTGGTGCACACACACACACACAGTGCTTGGTGCCCACACACACACACAGTGCTTGGTGCACACACACACACAGTGCTTGGTGCACACACGCACACACAGTGCTTGGTGCCCACACACACACACACAGTGCTTGGTGCCCACACACACACACACAGTGCTTGGTGCCCACACACAGTGCTTGGTGCCCACACACACACACAGCGCTTGGTGCCCACACACACACACAGAGAGCTTGGTGCCCACACACACACAGCGCTTGGTGCCCACACACACACACAGCGCTTGGTGCCCACACACACACACACAGCGCTTGGTGCCCACACACACACACAGTGCTTGGTGCACACACACACACACAGCGCTTGGTGCCCACACACACACACACAGTGCCTGGTGCCCACACACACACACAGTGCTTGGTGCCCACACACACACACAGAGCTTGGTACCCACACACACACACACAGTGCTTGGTGCACACGCGTCGTTGGTCCTGTTTTGTGCTCGAGGTTTTTTCGCGACGGCAGCAGTGACGCAGCCCTGCAGCGGCGTGTTCGTCGCTCGTTTCAAGAGGCTCGCAGTGGCTAGGAGATGTTGCCTCCCTTCCCTGGTGTAGAGGAGGTCGTGGGTTCCAGCCTGACCCTGATGCCTCTTGTATACTTGGAGTTTGCTTGTCTCTCCCTCCACATCACGTGTTGAATCAACATACATTGAGAGTATTTGGCTGCTATACATTTCCTCAATGATAAGCCACTTCGTTGACCTATCATTTGTGGCCTGGTCGCATCTGAAAAAGAGGTACATACCTCAGTGGGCCTTGTCTGGTAAAATAAAATGTAAAAAAAGAGATCCACCAACAGCCTCGTCATACAAACCAAGAAAATAATTTCTGATTCAACCGCATTAATTGATCAAACCAAACAGTTCTCGTTGAAACCTTCTGCTGCCAGGCCACCAAGATTACCAAAAATACATAAAGAAGATACACCCCTTCGTCCCATTGTCTCTACTATCAACTCCCCCACCTACAAACCTGCTCGTTTCTGTCTGAAATTCTGCGGCCTTTCACTGGAAAAACCACCTCTGAGGTACAAAATTCTACTCACCTGGTATCGACAATCAAGGGTATTTCCCTGTCCCCAGACGACCTGCTTGTCAGTTTTGATGTAGTTTCCTTATTCACCAAGGTTCCTGTACCTGACACCATCGCAATCATTGAAGACTTGGTTCATCAAGGACTAAACACTGAGGTACCCCCCCTGGTGAGACACTGTTTAACCAATACATACTTCACTTGGAATGGAACTTTCTACAAACAAACTGAGGGCACCCCAATGGGCTCCCTCCTATTTTGAGACTGACGCCATCCAGACTGCCACTGGATGGCAGTCTGGTTGGGCCACTCTGCGCCCAACCTTATGGAAGAGGTACGTGGATGACACTTTTGTCATCTGGCCACATGGCCAGCCTGCTCTAGACCAATTCTTCAACCACATCAATTCCATACACCCAGCCATCAGATTTACCATGGAAGTCGAAAAAGATGGCAAGCTACCTTTTTTGGATGTCCTAATTAAAAAGCGACCTGATGGTTCAATGAGCCACTCTGTCTACAGGAAAGCTACCCATACGGATGCTTACCTGAAACCGGATTCCCACCACCATCCATCACAGAAGAATTCTCTCATCAAGACTCTGTATCATAGAGCCCAATGCATATCCGACCAGGAACACATAGCCAGTGAACTCAAGCACGTACACCAAGCTCTTAAGGCTAATGGTCACTCCGACTATACAATCCTCAAAGCTATCACTCAAACCATGAAGAAGGACCCTCTTGAGGAGCCTTTCAAAACCATCACTTTACCCTACATTGCGGGGATCACAAAAAAAGATCTCCAAAATCTTGAATAAACACAAGATCCAGGTCCGATTCAACACATTACATAAAATCCGTGATCTGGTTCCGTCTGTAAAAGATGTGATTCCGGACATACAATACCCTGGCGTCTACAAACTAAGTTGCCTCTGTGGTAGTAGTTACATTGGAGAAACCAAACGCCATGTCTCGGACCGCATTCGTGAACACAAAGCAGACCTTAAACACGGTAGGACCAACACCTCGGCCGTGGCAGATCACTGTTATAATTCAGTAGGCTCACATTACATTGACTTCTCCAAGACGGAGGTTCTCTGCAAGCCATCTGGCTACCACGAGAGATTCGTTCATGAGGCTATCCACATATACAAACACAGACAATTTCAACCGAGAAGATGGATTCTGGCTTAGCAATCATTGGAAGGATTTGATAAACCATTTCAGGTCTTAATTGATTGTTCACGCTTACGGTGGCTTTCAGACCGCATCCATTATTTTCGTCTCCCCCCTCCTCTTTTCCGAACATAGATGGACTCGTCCTTCTAAATAACCTGCCAAATCGCTCTCCGTGGTGCTAACGTTAAAAAAACGCCACTTTTTTCAAAAAATTCTTGCTGTGGTTTTCACACCTGATGATAATTGCTTGTGTTGCAGTCGAAACGTCGTGATAATTTTATTGTTTTATATTTCTATTATTTTATTGTTTCCCTTCTACGTGACTTTACCGAAAGAACCAAGAATATGAATCCCTGCAGTCACGAAAGCTTTAAATAAAAAAAATAAAATGTAGTCTCGTTTTAGGTTTAAGAATCCCGCAGGCCACCCCGTTAATAAAATTACCGCAGGTGAATTCACCGTGAAATAATAATAATACATTCTATTTGTGAGCGCTTTTCTGAATACTCAGACACTTTACATAAAATCATAAAAGCATCAAAAACAACATCAAATGGTAAAACACATCAAAACACATCAAAATACACGCCACCTGCCTCACAGTAGAGGTAAGAAATCCTGTGACGTCATTTCCCAAAAGAGTCGGCCACTGTGTGCTGGCGTCATCGTCCGAATTTTTCACATTTGAAAAAATGCATCGCGAATTAGTTTGTTGGGATGACGCATGGGAACATCACCCTCCACTGTGAACACTTGGCAGGACCCTCCTGAAGAACAGTCTTGAGACACGTTGAGCCTTTCCTGGGTAAACAAGTTTCATAATAATAACTAATAACAATAATCTCATCAGGTCTTGCAAGCTAAGCGGTGTTGTGCCTGGATCGTGCCTGAACGATCGACCCACAATGCACAGCAGACTTTTATAGGCGACTGTGGGGCTGCATGGTGAGCAGCAGACGGGCGTGCAGCAATATTCATTGCTGTACTGTACTTCTGCACTTGCCACCTATGCTCCCCACCTTCACCAACCCTCAACGACCAGCTTGGTGAAGTATGGTAAAAATAACCGCCATGAGCCACACGGCGTGGGGAAGCCTTCATCCAGCAGTGGATTGACCATAGAGCTGTGCTTGTGCATACACGTGCAGTTGAAGTTGTACAATGTTTGGATACCCCCTTTCAGTGGGGCTGATATTACATTTCAAATAAAGTTGTTAAACCTTTAAAACTTTTAAACTGTGACATGTAGCTTGGCAGTAACGTTGTGACGCTGTCTGGCTGCTGCACGCAGGAGACGCTTTAGGAGGAAACTCTGCCTTTCCGCTCATGTTGTTGACGGACGAAGAGGAAGTGTGAAACCGGCGGTACGTGTGGTGGGTTCGTGATCGCGCTGCACAACCAACGGCGCATGTACCACCCCGCTGCACACCAAACCAGCAGCATTATCACACGGCCTACGTGTGTCTGTGCCTATGTGTACATGTGTGTGCGTGTGTGTGTGAGCGGTAGTGTAGCGGTTAGCGCTACGCTCTGCTATGAACCTGGCGACCCGTGTTCGATTCCCGCTCACGGCAAACACCGGTGACGATTATCTGAATCGGTCCTGGGCCTCCCCTTGATCGACTCGGCCTCAAATGAGTACCGGGAGCGATGTGTGAACATCGCCACTCGGGAAACAAAAGCGGCCGGGCGTGGTGTTGACCACCCACCCCTCGTGTGCCGTGCCAGCCTTTATAGGTGCTACTCGCTAACAGAACTTGCCCCTACAGTCTGTTAAGGCTATACACGCACGCCGGCTTGTTTCTGGGTGTCTACGGCTCTGGGAAGCCCACAGCGGACACGCGTGTGTTGCAGTGTGGTCCACGACACAACTTTGTTCTAATGAGTCCAGTGCTGAGTCCAGTGGCCGAGTGCGATGAGCTTGGGCCCTGGTGCCAGGAAATGAATGGGATCCCCTGTCCAATTCCCCCCTTCGTCGTGGGCCCTTAGGCCCATGGGCCCCGATGCAGTTGCACTGCCTGTCGGCTCGCCAGCTGCACCGCTGGATAACGCCGATCCACCATCGCACCACTTGGGCTGCCAGCTCCGGTCATTCAGACGCAGCACTGCATTAAAAACCTAGCCGCCCACCCCTCCCCCCCTCCGTTAATTAAACCTGTTAATTTAAATAGCTAAGCAGACAACGCACATTCTTCCTGTGCCTGATCCTCCACGTATTATTACAAGTCTTTTTACAAGTCCCATCAGCCGTATGGCATTCTGGGAGTGCATCATTTCAGCAGCATTGGTTCGACACAAGCAAACTCTGCGGACTGGTTGTGACATTGTCTCATCAGCAGTCAGGCTTACTCGCACCAGTGCCGGTGAACTGCCAAATGTTTATAGACAAGCACGTGGGCCCTAGTTGGATGCAAGACTATACAATGCATAGTGCACGTTCTCTTCATGCGTAAAGCGCAATGTATAATTTATAAACGCAGGTGCCACAAGTAAGTAGCCCGCCTTAACAGGGAAGTGAATTTGCACCGCTGGCTCAGGGCCATAAGTAGGGGATGAGCACTGCCCCACGTGAGAGTGGGAAACCAATTTTGACTTTAAGAACCAAAGTGGTTTCTTGCTCCAGTGAGCAGCGGGCATCTCATTACAGGCCACCTCTGCTGGCTACAGCTTAGACTTTAAATTGGGAAGTGTTGAAACTATCCCAGATAAACTCTTAATGGGTGGAGATTATCCCTTGTTAGTCATTACAGGTATCGCTCGATTTACAAAAGGGATGCGGTTCTTAAAAAAAACATGCTTAAAAGATGTTTTTTTAAATGGGAACGGCTTTTCCCATTAATTTAATACGAAAGATTAGGGATGTGTTTCGGACGGTCATTACAACTCTACTCCCAACCATCAGCCTGTGGGCCTTGTGAGACCAGTGATTTCCAGCAGCATTGAAGCAGGCAAACTCTCGGTCGGTTTGGGCTTTCTCAGTATCATCATTTGAGTGTGCCTCGTTTAACAAATGCTACTGGATCGTCTGCTGTCAGGAAATTGCTCTTCACAATCCCACAATGCACCATCAATGTATAATGTGTACAGTGTTGCTTTGTAATTAATCGCTTGTAATAATCGCTTGCAATTCGTTAGTTGGAGCAAGGTTGGCTACGTCTCTCTCCGTGAACAGCCGTGGCAGGGATTTAACTTAACCCAGCGGGCTCAAATGGGCCGGGCAGAGCGAGCCCGACGCCGGCCGTGTTTTTGTTCCGTGAGTGCGGGTGACTATTACGCAAGTGGGAATGTGCGGGTGCTGTCTGAACCCCGCGCACTGCATGGGCACTTCGAGCTACGGTGGAGATTAGGTTTGGCAAATGGGCACTCGCTGTACAGTAACGAGCAAGTGTGAATTAAACGTTTTCAAAGTTGTGGTGCTCCCTAGGAAAGAGGGCAATCGCAGTCTGCTGACGACGAGCGAGCGATTTAAACTCTTAATGCGGGATAATGAATTCTCACGCCTGGTTGCCGGTTTTAATGTGAACATGTTAAGGCTCGTTTGTCTTTGCACATTTGAAAATTACCCACCGCTAAATAGTGGAAAAAGCCGCCGGTAATCAGTTATCCAGGTGTAACATAGATAAGCATGTTCAATGGGATCCACTTGTCACGAGTTGGAATTGCTTGGAGGCTAGCGAACAAGACGTATTGTGTTCTAAATCCAGTTACCCCTTGGATTGCAGTTCTCACAGTTATTTGAAGACGTAATTAAATGTAGTGCAGATAAAGGCTGTGACTCGGTGTTTTGTGGAGGTCCTACATTGTAGAGGACAAATTTACATCCTGAACACAACGCATTGGAGAAGTTTTTCCTCTGAAGTTGGTGTGCGAGACATTGGCACGCTTTCAACAAATGCGGACATTCGCCCATGTGTGAATTATCCACCCTCGCACTCTGTGGGGGCCAGATTCTAGGTTTATTTGGGTAGAGTGGCATTGCAAAATGGACATTGCCGACAAAACGGTTTGTCCATCTCGGAAACTTGAGGAATACTGAAACTGTGGATGGCAAGAAGGATTTTAACGCAAGCCGCCGTTTTAACTGCGGAAGGGATAGTGCTCGATTGTTTGTTTTCTGTTACGTGAATTGCATCACCTACGGAATCGTTGCAGCCATTGCCCGCACAGCAGTACGTGCAGGGCACCTGCTTTGCTGTGGCGTACATTTTTAAATAAAACATTTGCAGGATTGATGAATGACGATCCTCGAATCAATTTAATCAGATTTTTTTTTTCAAAGGGTGCAGAGAGCCGTGAAGCTTGCAGTGAGGGCGCGTTCAGGAGGCCCCATCAGGTGCTGCACGTTCTCATGAACGTGTCTGAAGATACGCGTCAAACAAACTAAAGTTGATTTCAATGGTATACATCGGTCTCATGTAAAGTAACTCTTGAAATGTATAAAAATTTACACAAATACAATTGGAAATGCTATAACTTTGGAATCAATAATTGAGTCAAACGACTGTCAATTTATCTATACTGTATTGGTTTAACCCAAATGTATATAGTGGTGTCGAATTGTAACCGCATCTCAAGAAGCTGTACGAAAACGGTGCGAGTGCTTAACTGTAGAGGGAGGCAGTCATGGCCGAGCTAAAAATGTCTTCAGCCTGGACTTGTAAAGGGGCAGAGAGCCCACAGATCACGGGGGCAAGCAGAGGAGAATGAGCGACCTCCCACTGCGAACGAGGCCTTCAAACAAAAGCCATCAAACTGAAAGTTGTCACTAAAATGTGAAATAAGTTTATTTTTGCATGAAAAAAATTAATGTACAGGCAAATCTGAACAAAAAACCCATTAAAACCATGACCACATATGCTCACGTTTTGATAGCATCACTCAACACTGGTGAATTAAGTATGTTGTATGCCACAGCCATGTGTCATCTAAGCCCTAGATTAAGGTGGTGAAAACATAACTCACACAAATCATAACACAACCAATTAAAACCAGTCGGGACAATCGCTTGTACTGGTACAACGAGGCAACTGGGGTTGGGCAAGCTTCATTGATTGTTTATCAGGAAATCGGACAACACAATTGAATAATCGGCAAATGCGACTTCCTTCAGAATTCTAGTGGATGCTGCATGTAAAATGTACAAGCCTTTATTACAGATGTTCAATGGTCACAATTTAGAATCTCGATTTATTTAATAAAACCTATTCCTTTCACTGTGGTGTCTGTAATAATCTGCCGTGGTATGAATGTATACTCTACAGACATATAAACATCGAATAATTTTCATGTGTACTATCTAATAATTTTCATGTGTACTAGGACAGTAAGAATCGAATTTAATAAATCATGAAATTTTCTATTGAACAAGAGAACATGGAATAGTTTTTTTACTGACGAGTAATTCAATAATAATTTGGAGGAGCGGTACGTCAAAACTTAATCATAACCGATGCGTTTTTTAATTATATTTCATTACTTGTAGCGCCTTGGCATCCCAGTACTGGCATCGTTAAATTGTGAATTATTTCACGCGCAGGCTGTGGTCTCTGTTACATGCTGTGGTGCTCAAATGTGCTGTGCTGCGTGCGAGTGAACAAGGTGCGCGTGTAGCGTTACGAGCAGTCCACAGCACTCGGTCTGCTTAATGGCAGGTGGCGTGCGGTAATGGCACGTGCCGAGGAGCGGTGCGATGTGATGTCTACCGGAGTTCCGTACAAGTTTTGCTGCACGAAAAAAGTACAGCGCCTGCTCAGAATATCGGGGGACGAGTCGGTGATGGGGTTTCCTGATGATACTTTTTCCTAGCAAAACCCAAAAATTTCCATTTATCCCCTTTACAGCTTCCAACGTTCGTTGCAGGAGAATCGATAAAGCCCACCGCCGAAACCACCGAAAAACGACGAGCCAAATTCTAGTGACGCACAATCCAATGCGACAGCAGTGAATGTTCACCTACGGGAGAAACCTGGGGCTGCACTGGTGCGGACGTTTCCAAGCAGCGTGGAGATGCAGTTAACATCGACCCTGCACGCCGGTCAGTTTTGAGGTTCGGGAGTGCGATTTGAATTAATTTTCAATATTTAGGGGGTCTGCAGCTTCGAACGTGTTCATGTGTGGGACACGTTGCACCCGCCGACGTTATCTCGAGGACGCCCGGCACGGCACGTATCGGCGTGAGCGGTGTGGGTGGGGGGGAGCAGACTGCGCGTGAGGCGATGATGTGGCACTGGCGATGGTTCAGATGGCCAAGCCGAAGACGGACACGATGCAGTACATGGACTTGTTCTCCCATCGCACCGTGCAGCTTCCTGCGGGGGGAGGGGGACGGACACCAGGGCGGCCGTACGCGTCACTGGCAGAACGCCAGGGAGGGGTTTCTTTCTAAACGCCGTTGCTGAGCGCAGGCCCGCAGGTCTAAAAGATCAAGCGTCCAGAAGCGAACAGCACGATCAAAGTTGTAACGGATACAGAGCGCATGCAACGCGCTTCTTGAATTGAGCAGGTTTATTTATGAGAGATGATGGAAGGAAATTCCAAAGTGGAGCAGTGCGAAGGATGAAGGAGAAAAACGCGTGTTGTGGTGACGAAGCAGTTGTGACCGGCCGTGTGGGGGTTAAAGAGCGTGGCTGAAAGGAAACAGTCTTGTTTCGTTTAGGTAGAGCATAACGGTAAATCTACCAAGCATGTTAAAACGAATTTGATGCAGGCCAACATTTATTTGTTTAGAGCCACACCCTGCTGATGAGACTCAAAAGCCCCAACCAGTTGAGGATTTGCATCGTTTAGACAAACGCTGTTAGAAAACACGAGGCTAGAATGGCCAATGGTCGGTGAACTAAATGTTTCAGCGATGAAACGGACGCACCTCTCTTATAAAGGAAAATATTTTGTGCAGAAGGCAGGCTAACTGCTTGAGGATGGGAGCAGAGGTAATAGTAAAAGTGTAGTACATTTGGTATTCGTGCCATTCTTATAGGACAAGACTATCACGAAGATGCTATGTCTCACAGACAGTCTGCAGTAGTTGTATGACAGGGAGCGATGTTGCTCTTTGTAATCCCAATTAAGTAATCTGCAGGTAATTTTTCAAGTTCGGACCATGTCGCCAACACACAATGGCCTTGCTCTATTCCACGTCATGGAATATTTAAAGCACATGCGAAGCAGACCACGTGTAATATTTATGGATACACTTGAACGATAGTCTTGTGTAGGATGAGAGACAGACTGCGTGTTTGCGGGCATGTGTGCATGTGTGTGTGTGCACACGTGTGTGTAGCGGTTAGCACGCCGCACTACGAGCCCGGCGACCTGAGTTCGATTCCCCAAATCAGGTCGCCGGGTTTCAAACGACTATCTGAAACGGTCCTGGGCATTCCCTAGGTAGACTCAGCCTCAAATGTGTTTCTGGTGCGGTGTGTAAACATCACCACTAGAGACAAAGATGGCTCGGCATGGTGCCCACCCACCGCCTCGTGTGCCGTTCCGGCGTTCATAGGTGCTCGCGAAGAGCACTTGCCCCAACAGTCTGTTAAGGCTATACGGGGGATCTTTGCGTCTGCGCGTGTGTATCTGTACGCATGCGTGTGTGTGCTCACCGTCCGTGCTGTTATCCCAGAAGCAGGAGCTCGCCGTGTGAAGCCCCGCGCCATTCTTCTGCATGATCACGCACGTCACTGTTGGCACAGACCACCACCCCCCTCGGAGCTCAGCACAATTCACTCTCCATTACCAATTAACAACACCATCATTAGCGTCGTTGTGGAGAATACAAGTAACAAAAAATAAGCATGCCAGGATGCATCCTTCCCATATGTCCCTCCACATAGAAAATAAAAGCTTTTTTTTTACATCCCATCAGTCACACAGCCTTTTGGGAGTGCATAATTTTAGCAGAAATGGTTCACAACACAAGGAGCCTCTGGACCGGTTTTGACATTCATTTTCTCATGAGGGGTCAGGCTTGCTTAAACCAATGCTGCTGGACTGCCAGATGCTGCTATTTCAGTGAGACTTCCTGCATAATGGACATATTTATGGAAATGTATCTTAAATTCACAATATATGCATTGAATCGTTAATATGACAGTTCTTTATTTATGACCAATACAAATGACACGCAAGCATATATGCGATATTTACAGAACAGAGCATATTTAAATGTTCTTATTATTACTACGACTGTTTACTCAGGAAAGCCTCAGTCTTAAACCTTTTTCAGAATAGTCCGACCAAGTTTTGCAGGAGGTGGCGATGTTGCCATGTGTACTCCGAAATGAGTCATTTGCATAAAGGTTTTTGGATTCTCACCGCGTAAATATAAATGTGTGTCGTAAACCCACCTCCACTCGACACAGTCAATTAGTAAGGTTTGTCACGTGAACAAACCATCCGAATTAGTTACTACAGCACACCGGTTCTTTGGAAAGTAACGAATTGGCACGTTTTTATTTACGTGACAAACCTTACTAATTGGCAGTGTCAGGTGGTGGCTGGATTTACGACACGTTTATATTTACGCAATACAAGCGCAAAACCTTTACTATGAATCATGTTCGTTGCGAAAGCCTACATGTTTAATTTCGTAATTTGCAGATTATTTTTCAGCATTGGTATGTTTGGCCAACACCAGTTACATTGGGTGTTTTTTTTAGTTCAACATAAACTCAGCATTTGAAACCTGCAGCCTTTGTGGAATGCGAACACACAGGGAGGCCTGTCATAGCCACTCGCGAGTGACACCCACCGATGTACTTGAAGGGCTTGTTGAGCTTGGCCAGCTGGTTGAGGCACTGCTCCACCACGGTGGACGTCCACTGGTTCACCTTGTTATGCTGATAGGCGTTACCCCCAATGGCACTCTCCACCGACTTGGGATACAAGAGGATCGGAAACAATCACGTGCGTGTCCTCTCGCTGTGGCGCGTTCCCGGCGATGGCGGGCTCAGAATGCAGGCTCATTCCTAACCACCGCGTGTGTGTGTTCCTCGCCACGGTAAGCTCCACAGCCGCTGTCAACTCGGTGCTCGTCCCCCACACTGTGCTCCCAAACGAGGCACGTTCCTCCAGTCACAGCTGGGTCCTCCTCAATGCTGCACATTCTCAGCCACAGCACGTTCCCAGACAAAGTGTGCTTCTAACCTCTACACCTTTCTAACCACCGCAGATCCTAACTACTACGTGTTCCTGGAGCCATGAGGGCAGAAAGGCAGTGATTCATGAGCACGTACACTTTGCACCATTCACATACTTTGTAAAGCTAATGAGTAAATTACTAAAGTGGGACAGATGTCATTGTGGGACGATTCACTCTTTTATTAACAAGTGAATCAGATCAACCCCCATTGCTCACGGTCCCGCAAAGCACCAATCCATCCAGCACCCGCCACACACCGACTGATCTTACCGCTGCATCTCCGCGCCAAGCGGACTCTCTCAGGCTGCCACTCGTTAGTGTCGACCATCGGCCAAAATGAATTTGAGCGATAACAGGTGACTCTGATGAGCCCTCGTGAAGACGTCAAAGCTGGAATGAGTGTGGCTTTATGAGGGAGGCGCGATGCTTTAGACCGTTTCACCCCCCCCCTCAATGCCACGTTGTGCGTCCAAGTCAGTCGGAGCTTCTCACCTCCTTGATGATATTGCTGACCTCGTCCACAACAAATGCAGCCTGGTGGTAAAAATATGAAAAAAACAAATTACGTGTTTTAGTAGAGCATTTACACCAATTGCCAAACGATACAACAAAGTCAAAGTGATTTACAAAGTCCAAGTTCTGCAGAAATGAGCATCGAGACCGTGCTCATCTCTGCTGGTCACAGCCCTGATCCGGTGGTGAATATTCCACATTCCTATGGTGGGGGTCGAGTCTCCATAGGATGCAACCACAGTTGATTTCCGCACACAGTACAGAAGGTCCTGGGGGGTTGACTCATTAGAAGGGCGGCGACGGACTCGGCAAGGGTAGCGATTGCACCCCAATGCTTGCGCCTCAGCCTGCTTGTTTACAAGGTCATGGATCGAATCCAGTGGCTGCCCTGATGATTACTGTGGGTGTAATGACCATGGTACGACCACGTCGCTCCATCCACTTCACAGTGGACTATCGCATCCCCTGATGTCATTTGCAAGAGCAGGCCACCGTGTCCTTGGTCCAAAATTTGCCACATTCCAAAATGAACCCACAAATGACACCGACACGGGTGACTGGGTGCCGTCGTTTCTGTAGCCACTGGATAAGCAGCGGGGGGAGACGTTCTGTGAGAATGCAGCGAAATCAATCAGACACGTTCACCTCGTAGCAAGCGGCACAATTATCGCTTAAATTACTCAATTATAACTAATGGATTCAAAACCTGAAATAGACTGGCTTATAATTGCTAAAATTATGCATTCTTATCAATCACGAGACTGAGGTTAGAAACACTGCATGGAGCATTCACGCTGCATGGAGCATTCACGCTGCATGGAGCATTCACACTGCATGGAGCAGTCACAGTCACACTGCATGGAGCAGTCACGCTGCAGTGACGCTGCATGGAGCAGTCACTGCATGGAGCAGTCACTGCATGGAGCAGTCACTGCATGGAGCAGTCACTGCATGGAGCAGTCACTGCATGGAGCAGTCACTGCATGGAGCAGTCACTGCATGGAGTAGTCACTGCATGGAGCAGTCACAGTCACGCTGCATGGAGCAGTCACTGCATGGAGCAGTCACTGCATGGAGCAGTCACTGCATGGAGCAGTCACTGCATGGAGCAGTCGCTGCATGGAGCAGTCGCTGCATGGAGCAGTCACGCCGCATGGAGCAGTGACGCTGCATGGAGCAGTCACAGTCACGCGTCCCCTGGGTCACGAGTGACCCCATTCAACAACGCGCGACTAAGCGCCGGTCGCCATGGCAACTCGTCCACAGCGCCCCCGGGACAACCGCCTGGTGGGGAATCAATGAGCCATCATCTATCCACTGCTCGATAACGCCGTCCCCCAGCCGCTCTCACAGCACCCGCACACAAGCTGCTGCCTATCGCTCCATCCAAAGAAACTTGAGGCGTCCATCAATTGCCTTTTAAATATCCCTAGAACAAAAATTGGAATAGGTGACGGAAGTCTTTGACGTTGCAGCACCAACGTTTTGGAACAACGGCCTTGTTTTACTCCCTTGACATCGTAAATCTTCCTTCTAAAAATATCCTGGAGCACAAGATTAGTGCTGGATAGACTCGATAGAGTAGCGGTAGTTCAATGTTATATTTTAGTGAGGAACTCCTGCTGTGTTGTCTTGGTGTGGTCTGGGACTGGTTTGTCGTTTGTGCCGCCTTGCCCAATCTTGATAAATTTGACAAATATAATTAGTGTATTATTTATTCATATTTAGCGACTTGCTTACCATTCTCTCTATGCTGCACTCCTATCGTCATTGGTATCGTTTGTTGTTGTAATTTGCTGAGCCACCACCCACCCCGTGACCATACTGGACATCTGTTTAAAAAAAGAGCTTCATAGCTCATCGGATTCCCCTCTCCTGCGGTCTAAATCAAGATCTCTGATTGTCGAGGCGTTCGCGTTCCTCCTTCCTGCGGCAGCGAAACTCCTGCCCAAGTCCCTCCGGGCTGTTTGTCGCACGCATTAAATACAAATCAGAGGCAGTAACAACTTCACTACGTTCGGGCTTACGAGTGTAGTTTGTTCTCAATCAGGAGAGCAGGGCAGTCTAGTGAGGTAGTTCTTCCCGCACCGGATTCGGCTTATGTTTGGACAATTTTATATTAAAAAGTCGACGCCTCTGTAGGGGAGGAATCCAGCGCAATCCACCACATGGGATACTACTACTACTGTCACAGCCGGTTCATTAACTCGTTTCCTGTGCTGCCATCTCCCGGCCACATGGCAGCGCAAATGGGAGGACACCACCACCATTGGCACCAGCAGCAGCACCACCAGCAGCACCACCACCAGCACCACCACCAGCACCACCACCACCAGCAGCACCACCACCAGCAGCACCACCAGCAGCACCACCAGCACCACCACCAGCACCACCAGCAGCAGCACCACCAGCACCACCAGCAGCACCACCAGCAGCACCACCAGCAGCACCACACCCGGCATTGGTCAGCCACAGCACGCAGAGCCAGCCAGGGCATCTGCCCAGCACCACCACCATTGGCACCGCAACAACCACTGCCACCACCAACACACCACCATCCACCACCACCACAATCATTACCCTCGCCGCCGCCACCACAACGAAATAACCAAGATCACCAGCAATACAAGGAAGACCATAACTCCGCCACACCAATCATCACAACACCACCACTACAATAGCCACCATGACAACCGCTACACAATAACCAAACAAAATACCATCAAAATTAGAGTTTAAGCTTTCGTGACTGTAGGAATCCATACTCTTTGGTGCTTTCGGTAAAGTCACAATAAATCACGACGTTTTTCTTGCCGTCGTTTTCCCACCTGATGACGACTGCTTGTGTTGCAATCGAAACGTCGTATTCTATTATTTATTTTTCTTTCTACGTGATTTTACCGAAAGAACCAGAGTAAAACACCACCACCCTAACCCCCGCCACTGCAGTAACCGCCACCATGACAACCACAACACCAACAACCACCATAACCACGCGCTGCCACCACCACGATAACCACACCAATCACCACGAGCACCATCACCACTACAATGGAAACAAATCACACCACCACCACCACCACACCACCACCGCCACCTCCATGCGACCCGGCGGGCGAGCGATCAGGGCCCGGCACCGCAAGCCACACAACAACCATCGCCATCATCACCGCCACCACCATCTCGACTACACAGCCATCGCGAGCACCTCCTCTCCGGATTGAAAGTCGTCCATTGCGAGAGACTCGGGGTGGACGAGAGACTCGGGGTGGACGAGAGACTCGGGGTGGACGAGAGACTCGGGGTGGACGAGAGGAGTCGAAGCGGGACCCCGGGCAGCTCGACTTGGCTGGGTGGAGGCCTCGTCGTTATCGCCGTTGCGGTGACGTCACTCAGAATTCGTGGGTAGTCATCCGATTTACGGGTGACGTCATTTTGTCGGGTTGTACGGGTGACATAACACTTGGCAGTGCTCGTGACGTCATCGCGCCGTGACGTAAGGTCAACGTTATGGTACTGGGTTGTACGGGTGACGTCATGGCGCTGGGTAGTACGGTGAGTTCATTGCGCCGGTTTGCACGGGTGACATCATTGGGCCGAGTTGTAGTGATGACGACATCGATGCTGCGCGCCACTCCCGGAAAATTGCGTCGGGACGACGTCCACCAAGCAATGTAGTGCTTGACGTCATGTGGACAGGGAAGTAGCAGCGCCACCTTTGCCGAGGGGAAATACAATACAGGTAGTCCCCGACTTACGACGGTCCGACTTACGACATTTCGATCTTACTATGGCGATAGCGATGTGACAAAATTGTAAAATATTTTAATTTCGCGCGGCAGGCAAACGCAGCAGCGTACGCGGTAGGATACTGTAACTTTATCATCGCCATCCTCCTCTTCCGACAACTAAGTTAATGTAGCCATCAACAACCTAAACATCAATTCTAGATTTAAAGCTTACGTGACTGCAAGGATCCATACTCTTTGGTTCTATTGATGAAGGCCGCTTGTGTTGTGGCCGAAACGTCGTGAATTTTGTTATTTTATATTTTTTTACCTACGTGACTTTACCCAATAGAACCAAAGAGAACCTAAACATCGTTCAAGTATGCAGACGACGGACAGAATCTTGGTGAGTACGGTAGAGTATGATACGTTACGATACATTAAATGCATGTATGATACATAGCTTTAGCGATTTCATGTTAGGGTTACCACGATACGATACATACGTTCAATGCGTGTTAAAAGTTCTTAAAGCAGATAGGATTGTTTCCTGAAAAAAACTTTCTATGAATTGCAGTTCATATAGGTAGGCTAAGAATTTACCTTGTTTTTTACTTTAAATTTCACTGTGCAATACAGTATTGTAATTAACAAATACATACAGTACATAGTTTATACAGTACGGTACTGTACATTGCTCTGTTTTGCTAAATGATCACACCATTCTTTAAGACTCCTGGGTAGGCTAGGCCATCTTCGACTTACGATATTTTCGACTTACGATGGAGTAGTCGTAACGCATCTCAATCGTAAGTCGGGGACTACCTGTACTGAGCCCTTGTACGGCAAATGCACAATCACATTCTTCAATAGTCTCCGATACCGTGTGGCTAAACGTAAATGTTTTTTTTCTTGACAGTGAACATGTGACGGTCCTCGACAGGTCGTAAAACGAGAGGTGTGGCAGTGGGTATTGGGTTATGTTGGCATCACGCCCACTGCACCAGCCAATCAGCTGCCAAGAAGTGAGCCCCATGCAACATGGCCGCCGTGAAGTCACCCATGCAACATGGCCGCCGTGAAGTCACCCTCATGCAATATGGCAGCCGTGAAGTCACCCCCATGCAACATGGCCGCTGTGACGTATCAACATGGGTTATATCGCGTAAATATAAATGCGTCGTTGAACCCGCCACCACCCGACTTGCTGTTGCTAGTACAGCACACCGGTGTGTTGGAGAGCAGTTCCATTTATTTCCATTTATTTGGTATAGCCCTGTGAGCCATTCGGCTCTTGAATCGAGTGCAACCGCAACAAACACAAAACAAAAAACATGAACAAGAAAACATCTTAAAGTGACTGTGTGACTGTGCAAACAGAAAATCCAGGAAAAAAACATCAAAATATTCCTGAAATAGCACCGTACACCAACGCTGTGTGCAAAAATCCCAGTGAATCCAGACATGCGTTTAGATTATTTAGATGTTTTGCTGATATAAATGTTCACATGATAAGCCACTTCGTTGAGTGATCATTTGTGGCCAGGTCGCTTCAGAAAAATAAGTTAATAGCTCATATTCGAGGTTTTTGGGTTGCTGTTAAACCCACCACCACCCAACACAGCCAATTAGTAAGATTTGTCACGTAAACAAAACATGCCAATTCGTTACTAGTACAGCACCACCGTTGTGTGTGTTGGAGAGTGAACCCACGACAACATTTACAATTCGAGTACCGTGACGTTTCGCTAGTAATTACAACAACCAGCATCATCAGGCGACAGCCAGAGTTGTGGAGAAATCCTCCTCCTGGTTCGGTCTTAAATAGATGGCGTCAAATTTCGATTTAAAGCTTTCGTGACTGCAATGATTCATCTTCTTTGGTTCTTTCGGTAAAGTCACGTAGAATGAGAATAAAATAATAAATTGATAAAATAAAATAACACAATAATATTCTCACGACGTTTCGGCCACAACACAAGCGGCCTTCATCAGGTGAAGGGGGCGAGACTGTCTGGTAGGACAGCGCTGGAGTGAGAGAGCCACGTTCAGATCACGGCTTTTAAGCTGTGTGAGAGGAACAAAGAGCCCTCAAATTTCCGTACGGAAATTATGTTATTTTATTTTATCAATGTATTATTTTATTCTCATTCTAGATGGCGTCACTTCTTAATATCCAACTACGACTTATGTATGTATGTTGAACTTCTTTCGCGCCGTACGTAACCAGCCGAGCTACTCTGGAGATGCGGAGACACCAAACTAAACACAAAAAAACAGTTCTAAAGAAACTCGTTTTCAACCGAGATTTAAAAGTGCGGAGCTCCCAGTGGCTTCCTAAAATCGGAAGGAAGAGCGTTCCAGACGGCCGCAGAAGCGCGTCTGAAAGCGGGCGATGTGGTGAGCACCGCCTTTGTTCGGTGGCTCACAGCCACAAGCCGCTGCTGCGTGGGGTGACTGGAGTTCACTTGATGGTTTCTGCTCCTTGAGATCAGCAAGGAAATTCACTCTACAGCACTATACAGCACTATACAGCACTCTACAGCACTCTACAGCACTATACAGCACTATACAGCACTCTACAGCACTATACAGCACTCTACAGCACTATACAGCACTCTACAGCACTCTACAGCACTATACAGCACTATACAGTACATTTCAATACAGCCATACCCCGTTTACGTCTCCCCCTTTTACGTCGTTTCACAAATACGTCGTCGTCACTTTATTAACACCACTACGGTACTTGATTTGCGTTGCCTCAACCCACACTTACGTCGGTGGCAGCATCATCGTCCGTCCTTTCTTGTCATCCGTCGCCTCTCAGCCTTCGCCTCCACCACCGACCCTGTAAATCTCTTTGATGGACGTCGTTTCGGTATTCATCGTCGCACCTTTCAGGAATGCATCCCCGATGTAAACCGGGGTATTATTTCACTACGCCACCTTCAAGCCTCATTTCGGCTCCACCTCACAAACAGCTATTATAGGGGTCACTAAACTATTAAAAAGTCAACACAAACATCACTTGAACCGCCGCTGTCCATGTTATAACGTACATTGAATAGCAACAAAGAACTATTTCTTGACCTTTTCTTTTCTCTGGAATTCATTTAGTATTTTTTGTCTATTTTTGAAAGCCGAAATAGTGACATATAGCGACCTCTCGAGGCATATAATGTATGCGCTTTCTTGATGGTTGGCAACACTGCCCCCTTGATCTGCACGGCGAGCCAGAGCCATTGCCCTGTGGCGACAAGGGCAGAAACCGCCGTTCATGAATACCAACATGCGGAATTGCGCTGCTAAGCCACAGGCGTTAAGCATTCACGAATAGCAGGCACCATATTTACTACTTGCAATGGTAAGTGGGCTTCGGAAGGACACTTCCCTGGAAGGGATGATGATGATGGCTAGTTGGTTGTTGAGACTGATGATAGTGAAGATGGGAATGCGTGCCCAAGATGAGTTGGGGCATTGAGTTCTGCTCGTGTTCTGGAACCACCTTGGATCGTTGTATCATGTGACCGTAAGGAGATGGCATTGCTATGGCTTGGGCAGGCCATCATACAGCAGTGGAGAGATCGTGGATGATATGATTTTTTTTTAAATATCGATTCCTAGAAATAAATTATACACTTTCATCTTCATAATCAATAGAAAACAAATGGATGTATCATTGCACCGGTATAACACCCATTGAAATGGTTATCGCATATTTCACTTTTATTGGCCATTGGTACTGTAGAGTCTCTATGGCGTGTACGCCATCTAGGTTCACGAGCAGGTAACTGCATATGTCTTACTTTGATTTAAACCTTTCGTGACTGCAGGGATTCATATTCTTGGTTATTTCGGTAAAGTCACGTAGGGAAACAATAAAATAATAAAAATGTAAAACAACAGAATTATCACGACGTTTCGACTGCAACACAAGCAATCATCATCAGAAAAAAACGCCACTTTTTTCAAATTTTCTTGCTGTGGTTTTCACACCTGATGATGATTGTGTTGCAGTCGAAACTTCGTAAGAATTTTATCGTGTTATATTTCTATTATTTTATTGTTCCCCTTCTACGTGACTTTACCGAAACAACCAAGAATATGCATATGTCTTATACCTCTCTCCGGCACCGGGGGAGGTATGGCAGGGAAGCGGGCCCGAGAGGACATGGTCCCGTTGAAGGGAGAGAGAGGGCACGTGAACGGCACGGGGTAGCAAAGGGACCCGCTTGAGGGACACGTGACGCTGGTACCAGTTCCTTCGGGAGAGATCGAGAAGGCGGCGTGGCTGGAGGCGGAGTGAGGCCACGCTCGACAGGATAAGAGGGATGGAGAGGGAGCGATCGCGGCTGTCTCGAGGAGCGAATTCACCGTGCTACGTTTCTTCGGTCTTCTGTCGTCGGTCTTAGATTGTACTTTCAGGACGAAGTTGCCGTCCTGACCCGGTTACGTAGTGACCCGGTTGGGGTCTAGTTAACCTGTTGTAACGTTAAAGTAGTAGCCCTGTTGGGGCCGTATAATAAATGTGGTGCCTCCAGATTAAAGTGTGTGTCTCTGTGGATCCCACTACATCTGGTACCAGAAGTGCCAATGCTTTCTAGCTCGGTAATAGCTTTAGAGTAGGCAAATGTTTACTAGGCGGAGACAATCCACCAGGGCTTCTTCAGAGGAAGAAGACGAAGAGGGGGTAATCCCCCAGACAGCTCTGGGAGAGGCGGCCCCGGAGATGGAGCACGAGGGAGCTCGGCCCGCGGACCAGCGCCAGGAGCACGACCTCGCCTCGCCACCCGCGTTGGGGAGAGACTGGTGGGCGTGTAACCGGCGCCTCGCCGACTTACTGTCCGCTGCAGTAGTGCTCGTCGCCGAGTTGGAGCTGGGCAAGCCGGGCGAACGAGTTGGTGGGCCGGAGCCGTGGGGAGACGACTCTGCCGCTGCTACGTCCCACGCGTGGGAAACGCGGGAAACAGCTCGCACGCGTGGCTGCCATTTTGATCGGCGAGCGGGACGGTGTTCCCGCCATAACGAACCTCCTGCCAAAACTACAGTTGGAGGTGCCAGCACTGAGGAAGCGCCTGTTAAAGAATTTGCGGCTGCAGGGGGAGATTGGGCGTTCTTCAGCCGGCGTTTCACCGCCACCTGCGACCTGGCAGGGTGGACAGAGTTGGAGGGGGGCACTCCCGACTGTACTGAACGACGATGCCTTGGGAGTGTTTTACTCCATCCCATCGGAGGATTGGGTAACGTTGTTGCAGGCCGTCACACAGATGACAGGAATTTTTGACCCGCCATCTAACATGCGCCATAAGTTTGCTGCGCGGAGGCGGGGGGAGGCCGAGACGCCTCTTGCCTTCCGCAGCGCACTTACGTCACTCGCGCAAGCGGCGTATTCTAAAATGGATA